CACACATTCATACACATATACACACACATAATAAAATAAAATAAAAAATAATAAAAGACAACCCAAATTAATAACTAAGAAATTATAATGACAGCATCAAATATATTATTTTGCATAAGCATGCATATACATGATTTTTGTTCAGTTGATTCATTTTTTCAAAGTATTCTTTTAACCTTAAATGTCTTGCTGTTGGTTATCAATAGATTTAGTGGAAGGAGTAGTCCATAGATAAAAAAGAATAGGTTAGATTTTGACCTCTCATCAACATTACTTACATTTTATAATAAGAGTTCAGCATTTTAAATGATGGACCTTGGGGAGATGAGCCATCACCATTGCTGCCCCCACCCTTTTGAGCTCTCTCCCCCTTCACATCAGAAACTCAGACCCACTGAACAGCTTCAAAAACTGTTCAAAACACACCTTTTCTTCATGTCCTCTAACCTCCATAAATGAGTTCTTCCTCACTACTTGTTTTGTCTGTCCTGCCCTTGTTTTGTGTTACATTATTATGAAGCATCTTTGAGTTATAAGCGCTATAGACAACTGATTTATTATTATTATTATTAGTAGTAGTAGTAGTAGTAGTAAATATTCCCTACTAATAGACAAGTTTAGCACCCTCAAATTCATCCATGCAGCAGATTGTATCCAATGACACCTGCGCTCTGCTGTCTTAACTCATCGTGCTCATGACATGTCAGTAGCTATGTTGTTGTTATGTAGGTCTATGTAGGTCTATGTCAAGTTTGGGTCAGCCCAGGTCCTGCTCTCATTACCTTCTTATTTTTGTGAGTGAGGCGGTTGCCCTTGATGGTTACCATAGTAACTGTCAGCCAATAATGAGGTCTGAACGGCAGGGTGTGGGGTCAGGCCACCTCGAGCCACAGCAGGAACAATACCCATGACTCCTCCCCCGGGTGCATAGTGTGTACGGGTGCAGGAGGTTGTGGGTAGGCATGTGTGGGGTCGTCAGATTTGTAGGTCACTTACTGGAACACTTAGTTGTGCTTTCATGTTTTTCCTCCTGCCATCCTGCCCCTCTTCTGAGTCATCATGTCGCCTCCAGCTTAGTAAACCTGACAAGCTCCAACTGTGAACATAAGGAAGAAGCAAACACTAGTTCAAGTTCAAAATGACTTTAGAAGAGGAGGGACTGTCAAGACATATCTATCATATAAGAAGAAGATGACATACTAGGCCCACATAGCCTCACACCATCAAAAACAGGTACCAAAGCCTTGACTAGATTAGTGTGTCAGTAGAGCTCTGGCCGTGACTACACTGACAGACATAGGAGGTAAACTTGAATAATTAGCAGTTCAAATCATAATTATGCATTAGACTGACAGAAGCGAGGCTGCCCATTTGTACCATCAACACCACATTCATACTAGGTAGGTGAAGTGACTTACCCCAAGCCAAGGACACAAATCAGTTTGTACTGGCCCAAGTGGGAATCAATTCACAGACTTTCTGTTTGTTGGACAAGAACTCTAACCACCTCAATACTTGGTATTTCATACAGTCTCCATCTCAATACTGATCAGACTCATCCTTGCTTTGATTTTGAACAGAAGAGATTGAACGTTGTCAAGATAGTATTCCCTGATTTCTTAAGACTTTACCACACATTTTGCTATAGTTGGAACCACCACAATCTGATCACTGAGAATCATACACGTAATAGGAGGTGGAAACAACAAATACTGCATTTAGTACCAGTAATTCACATAAAGGTTAGCATTTTCAGGATCCCCAAAATCACCATGCAGCAGACACATATTCAAAAAGAAATTGACACTTGTAATTAGTTCCAACTTTGTTTCCGATTTCATATACTAAACAGCTCTTGGGACCCTCACTTTGGGAATCCTTGTCTGAGACCACTAGAACAGATGTCTTCTATAGTGGTTCTAGTGATTAAATATTCTTTAGACCAGGGGTGCTCACACTTTTTCAGCATGCAAGCTACTTACAAAATGACCAAGTCATAATGATCTACCTAATACAAAGCCAAGCAAACTGCACTGAAACACTCTGTGCTCCTTTTTTGGACCCTCACCCACAGTTTGAGAACCCCTTCTTTAAGAGAACTTCCTCTGGCACTTTACACAAAACAATGAAAAATGTGAAGGAAGATTTTTAAAGCTGTTTTTTAAAGTTCCAAACTGGAGTTGCATTCTTTTCTGGTTTTGCAGTGATATTTACCAGCCTCTGCACATTTACCAAACCAAACGCACATCGTGACAAACACAGATGCATTTGTGCACTTTTGTTAGGCAAACTTCAGCCAAATGTGGCAGTAGGTCTGTTCTGTAGGTCTGCTCTATGCTGTAGACCTGCTTTGTGCCAACACTGTAACACAAATTTAGACTCGTTTCTGCTTCACGTTTGGTCAGCGCGCACTGTGGAAGGGGCTTGTGTTCGCTGTACGCAGGAAGGAGCGAGAGCGTCAAAAGGTGAGGGGCAACGTGCTGACGTGAGGCAGATGGACAGGTAGGATGTTTAGGAAGTTTAACCTGCCCTGTGATACACGCTGGTACACGAGGGTACACGCTGTTGCAGACGAACCGTGCATAGGGAACGTGTGTATTTGTGATGTGCCGTAGAGTCTCCGCGGGCTGCACTGAGCGCACAGGCTGCACTGAGACGCCCCACACGCTCCTGCACCCCGGTACAAGTTTATTACCAACAGCAACGGCTGTAATGAAATATGATCACACTTGTTGAGTGTCAGACCTTGAGTGAGAGACAAGACCGAGTCCAAACGCGAGTCCGAGACGAGACACGGCGATCTACCCACACGACCTTGGCGATCGACTGGAAGATCGGGATCGACGTATTGAGCACCCCTGCTTTAGAATATTTCAAAATCTTCCACGTGTGTTTGAGAGATTTACCCTTGTTACTGGTATCTCTGTCATTATCTTGCTGAAGCTTCACATGCAGGCCTTGGAACACCAATAAAAATAAAGACTATTTTGATAAAGGTCGGGACACTAGGACTAAAATGATAACTGGTAAAACCAAGCTTTCTAATTGTAAAGAAATCACTAAACTATAAGTCTAGTCAGTTCATACATGCTGTCTGTGTATGTCTGAGCAAGACATATACACACAAAGAATGGCAAGACATATACAAATGAATAGTGAATGGCAGACCTTAATCTTGTGTTTGGAGTGTCATGTCTATTAGCCCAGAAGCTTCAAAGGGATCGTGTGTGGTAATAGCTGAGAAACTAGAAAAACATATCTCACAGGTCATTGTTAGGTTTCTAGGACTTCTGAAAAAGAAACAAGACCTGACTTGAAACCATTATTATCATTATGAATGAGCCAAATAGCTGAAAAGATAAAAAAGGGGCCCACCATGTAATTATTATGATTATGTATTTGCTATAATAACAAACTACATCACATCACTACATTAATATATGCATTTCTTCCCAAGTTAGTTTGAGTGATTGCAGAATGTAGAAGTTTGTAAGACTTAATCTGATCTCTAGGCATGTGGAGCCTGCACATTTACACTGTATCAAATGCATTTGAGAAGAAGGGATGACTCACATTTTATGACTCCAAGGCCAGTGATTGGTGACTGAAAATCGCATGAGTCTAGCTTGTATGGGATAACTTTACACTCATCCAGCCTTTTTTTGTCTTGGCATATGTGTAGTAACTTGTTATTTTAAAGAATGCCATGATTTCTCAAGAATAAAAGAGCACACATACACATATCTAGATTGATTTATCTAGATCTACATTTATCTAGCATCACAGATAAATGTGCAACCGTGTGGATAGAGCGACCCTCTATCCACACGGTTGTACATTTAGCTATGATGCTTTATCCCTGCTGCTGATCTTGTAATCTGTGTCAAACATACCTTGTTTACACTGGACATAAGTTAACCAGAGCACACACCCAACTTCAACACCTGCTTATCCATTCATTCAGTAAAGTGTGAAGTCCAGAAAGTTAGTATTATCAAACCATAATAAAATAATCAGAGATGTGCAGTATTCAGCAGTTATAGCCTTCTATTCACAATATACTCAAAAGGAATTAGGGACGAGACTTTGTCTTCTGTTTTGGTGAGATGGTCCATTTCTGCAGCTAACATGAAATTGGGGGAACACAATATATCGATAAGATTCTTTAAGAATAACTTCAACTTGCAAGCTGGTAATGTCAGATGCATGTTCAAAAACCCTGTCTGATATAGGCTAATGTAGGATTGCTGTGTGAAAAAGCACAGTCCATTATTTGGCTGATGGATCAAAGCTGAAAGGAGTTAGGAGATAGGAACAAAGCACATGCACTAAAGAAGGGAGGTAGTGTATGGATGGGATCCTCATTTCCTCCTTCACCCTTGACCTTTAACCTCTAACAACTTCCTTCCTGCAAGTGGTGCCACTGGAATGTCTCCTTGAGTTGTCAGTAAAACTATATCTATACATAAACGTGTGTTGCACCATCAAAGTGGGTGCATTTCCGTTAACGAATACAGAAATCACTATGCAGTTGTGTTTGGAAGTGTGGTAAAGAGAGGGTCAGGTCAGGGGTCATAGGGTTAAACAGGCGAAGTGTAAATCCTACATCTGGGCTTGCACTTATTCCGGGATTTCAATGTATATCTCAGTGTATAACCCAAATGTGCGGTTGCTGTGAATGTAATTAGAGACTGCAGCAGGAAACAGGGGAGTGTTCTATGGCCTGTACAATCACTTGATTTCACATCACAGCTCTTTCATCATGAGTATATATATATATATATATATATATATATATATATATATATATATATATATATATATATATATATATATATATATATATATATATATATAAGAGATTTTCAATTTGGCTAAAACAGATTTTAAAGATTTGCAGTAAATTTGTAGGAGCTGTGGTGATATTTTGGATCCAAACAGTTGTAGCAAAACAGTATGACAAAAATGTTAAATAAAAGCATTTATTTGTGGTGCATAAATACAGTTGTATAAGAGAGATGGAAAGATAATGCTCTCCTTGTGTAGAAAAATAAAAATCTTTTGCATATCTCACTATTCATAAAAAAAACTGTAGGCTAGCTACTTTAGTCAAGTAAGTAGACACGTGTACTTTCAAATGTACAGGCTATATTAAAGTGAAGTGCCTTCTGAAACCACATGGAGCATATGAAATTTTAAATGACCTCATTATAGTTTAAAAAAACTGTTACTGCAAAACACCCATGAAAATGTTGATATGCCAAAAATAAAATGATGAAAAGGGACTAAGCATACAAAAATGGTTTGCTCTTGTCCATGTCCTGTGTCTACCGCTAACACTCTTCAGTCTGTAACATGGAAAAGAAGAAAGCGCACACGCTGGCCCACGAGCTGTTGCAGTACTCCTTTGCCACTTCACGGTGGTCGGCGCGTCGCTTGCAGTCAGTAGGTGTCCCACTGGGGACATGAGCGGTCGGGGTGGTTGTTGTGGTGGTAGTGGTGGTGCTGGTGGTGGTGGAAGAACTCTTGGGATGGGGAGTAGGGTCAATACCCGACTGAGCCGAAGTGACTGCCGAATTCATGTCCAGTTTGAAATGCGCGTCTCGAGACGCGCGCTTACACATGCCTGCTTTTATCAAAACGCGCTCTTCCTTGCACAGAGCTCCCTGCAGCTTTTTGAGCGCGCGGAACACCTGCTTATAGTATGCTTTGGGGTTGGACTGATAGGCCGGGCAGCTCTGAGGTTTGGCGTTGTACTCGCACTGTACGTCCGTAACTCCTCCAGAGATACGGGCCTCAGAATTCTCACATTTGACCAACATCTTCACACCGTTCCTCGTGTCTTTAGTAGCCCAAATGCACTGCATGCCGTTCTTCAGAGTAAACCTGCCGCGAATTGGTCCGTTTCCACTCCGTTGTGCGCGCGAGACCCCCTCTGACCGGGGACTGTCGTGAGCCCCGGAGGACGCCGTGAGGAGCGCGAGAATGGAGAGCAGTGTCCAAGAGAAGGCGGCGCGTAAAATGAGCATGTCGAAGCACAGAGAAACACCTGAGAAAAACAAGAGAGCTTCAGCCTTATTTAAGAAAGAACGATATAAAATAATATCCAACAGAAAGGCCGATTCTTTGGGGTGTCAATGGGAAGTTGGCAATTTATTTGCAGCTGGCCCAAGCCAAGAGCGTTAAAACATTAAAAAAAGAAAAAAAAAATAAAGAGAAAAAGAAGAAGAAAAAAAAAAAGATTTCAAAGCTATTGCTTTAGGTTAAGAATAAAGAAAATAGAACTTCAAACACATTGTTACAAAAAAAATAAGATAAATAACTAAAAACATAAACAAGTAATAAAATGTGATGTCTCAGGGTACTTACTATCTGTAGTTAGAATGTAGCACGTAGAGTTGTTTGGTCCAGTTTTGTGAGGTCCCCGGGTGCGCACATGGCTTTCATATGCACAGATCTACACGCCCTCCTCTCCCGCCCAAACGCAGTTAAGTACAATCCACTGACAAGAAATACCCGTGTTAGGGGACATCGTGGGAATGCAAGCTATACACGTCTATAACATGATCAAACAAAACATCAACGTGTGTAAAATTTTACTGTGACTTATAGCCTCTCGGTAACAATTTAAAGATCAAATGTCATTACAACGGAACCACGCCTCTCAGACAATTGTGTTGTAGCTCGAATTCACCCACCAGCCTTCAAGGCAGGAGAAAGAAAGAGAGGAGGGAAGGAGGGAAAAATGTCCCGTTTGGTTACGTTGCAACATAAGACAGGTTTTATAACATGTATAGATGTCTGGTACCATAATTTGCAAATTCAAGATTGAATGTGTTTGACTTTGTAGATATACATTGAGTTAAGAGAAAACTTACCTCAGCTATGACATAGATTATTAAACACGAAGCCTCCTCAACAGGTGAACTTCAGTTATAAGCGTAACTGCAACCTCTGGTGGTCAAACAAAGTACTGCAATAATAATGTGAACGAATATCTGCTCTGATATTATTATTATTATTATTATTATTATTATTATTATTATTATTATTATTATTATTATTATTATTATTATTATTATTATTATTAAAGCTAAACTATCCTATTATTTGTAACTGGGTGGTTCATTTAAAATGGTGTAATAGTTTACCGCTGTGCTTATTGTGCACACTGGTTTCATAGGCTGCTGAAAATATTCAGTGAAATACAATATAGATTAGTTCACATGTTCCGGGTGAAACAAACATCCCAGAGCCATTTCTCATATTGACAAACTGAGCAAAACGATTGGAGTGGTATTGGGCCAGTGCTTTAGCAACCCTCTCAGTGGTGTGAGAGTGGATTTCTGGTATGTATGGCATTGCTTTAATGTGGTGCGCCACCGGCATACAATTATAAATATGTTTTAGTTTAGTTTGCAAGTGCTACTATAACAACTTTATTACAATGTCTTATAGTACTATCCATAAAAAGTAATACAGAGCACAAAACCTTTGTGGTAAACTATTTGTTTCTTTATCTTATCTCCAAAATGTTTATAGCATAACATTTACACTTCATTCTGACATTTAGCTTTTAACCTTTCAAAGTACCCTGAATACATTTAACCCAGCCTGAAAGGAAACACACATGAGCATAAAATTCTAATCAATACCAAGTGCTGACACAAAGCAGTTTGCATCTTTTTCCACAGAGAGAAAAGGGAAGAGTGGTGTTTATTTACTCATTCTATTCATTTTCCCTGGTCTGCAGGCCCACACACAGACCCCCTCTGTTCTGGCACACTCCAGCTCTAAAGACTCAGCTCATTCATGCTCACACAAAGACAAAGTGTGTCGCAGAGACTTCCCTCCACTTGCTTGTATTATCTTTAGTGTCTGCGTCTTAATGGTTTCCTGCCTCTTGTTACTCTGAGCTAATGATAGAAAGAAACAGGGAGCTCTTTGATTGTCACCAGTCCTCAGTTTTATTCCGTTTCCCAACCATCATACAAAAACAGTCTATAACTTCATATACAAACAAGAGGCACATGCCTGCCATATCTTTGAAAGCCTTGCTGTGTTCTAAGTTACATTATTACCACAAACAGGGAAATGCATTGTAGCTGGCCATTGATTGTGGATGATTCTCAGCCTGTGCAATGCTGCTGTGTTGAGTGCTGGTCTCCACAAAGGTAGCTCCGAGCTTATACAGGATCCTTTGAGAGTTTCCACTGGGTCCAGTCTGAAATAAAGTAACAAAGCATTTTTACAAAACAGCATTTTGATTGCCTGTTCATTATTTCATTCTTTGTTTCCATGCTGCAGCAAAGTTGATTCTACTCACTTGGATCCAACTGTAAACTCAGTTCTGGAACCAGCTGATGAAGTAGGTGCAGATGCCATGGAAGCTCCTCCAGCAGTACTCTGTGGCCAGGCGAGATGCCTTGGAATCAGGTTGCTCCGTGGGACGAGTAGTGGTCTTCACAGGCTTGGGGGTGGTCTTCTTAGGCTGGGGGGCCTTGCCTGGCTGGGGTCTGACTGGCTGTGGCTGAGGCTTTACTGGCTTAGGAGTTGTAACAGGTTTGGGCTGGACTACTGGCACCACTGGCTTGCGAGGCTCCTGGACAGGCTTCGAAGGCTTAGGGGTGGCAGGCTTGGGGTATGCAGAGAGGTAAGTCATGTGGGCCTCGTCTGGGTACTTCTTACACATTGGTGGGCGGTAGACCTTCTGTCCCTGGCAAGCGTTGTTCTGTTTCCTGAGCTCCCACATCATCTGAGTGAAGTAGTGGCGTGGGTTGAGGTTGTATGGCCTACAGAGGTTGGGTTTTCCTTGGAAGTCGCAGTAGTAGGACTGTCCAGCAGCCTGGCCTTTGCATGAAACACGCAGGCGGGTGTAGTCTCCAACTCCAGACACCACCATGGTGCAGGAATCTCTGGTCTTGGTGCTGAATCGAATTGGCTCATCCCAAACACTGCGCTGCTGTGGCTGCGCCTGTGGCTGCCTGTTTTCGTTCACGCTGTTGTTGTTGTTGGTTTGTGCGTGAGATACACACACAGCTGTTGCCAGCAGCAGTAGAAGTCTCAGTCTGGTCCTCATGGTGAGTGGATGGTATGTAATGATGGATACTGCGTGCAAAGGTTGGAAGTCCTTGCGGGTGGACGTATATAGCCATGGCCCACAAAGAAGGTATTATTCAGGTGAGCTCTGACTCCTCCCTGGAGTTTTACATAGACATACACAGAACATGTGGCTAATGCCCAGCTCTGTGTGGTCAGCGCCAATCCTAAAGATGTGATGGGCAGGATGGAAGGGGGAGGGCGAAACATAAACCAGGGGAGGGGGCTGAGGTGGAAGAGGGGCGACTGGAAGCGGTCAATGGGTCTGTGGGACTCCTGGGAGGAGAGGGAGGGGTATAGGTCTGAAGGACAGTACACACATGGAAACTAATGTTGTGAGAGTGCGACACATTATATAATCTTATGGCATAGGGAGCTCTTTGACTATTGATGGTGGGAGAGAGGGTTAAGGGTGCACAAGCTAATTGCAGTCTCAAACCATTTGCCTAGGAGTTAAGGTTGATCTGCGGCTCTGTAAAAGTAAAATACCATAACCGTATCTTGTTCATCTAAATTTAGAGTTTAACTGCTGCACACACACTGAGCACACAAAACATTTTTTATGTTTGATTGTTTTCAAGTTATATTAACTCAGTGTGAGTTGATACTCCCACATTAAAGAGTCAGAGAAATTTGGAATATAACTTTGACCTACAGCTGAAAAAAGGAATTTGAAAATGTATATGGTCATTTGATTCCTATTAATTGTGATCTGGTGTGAGTTAGAATCAATTTCTGACATAAAAACATGAGAACTGTAAGTCATTATTTCTTAGATGGGTTGTGATATTGCTTAAAACTAAATTCTCTGATTGCATTTTTTCGAAAGGGCTTTTCCTAAATCATTGGATATTTGTACAATTTCCTCTATATGATAATGTCTTGGTAGATTACCGATTCATTCACATTCTCTAATCTAAACAGAAATTGCCTCTTGTTAGTTTCCTTATGATAAATAAATGCATAAATGTTAGTGTTCCTATTGTAGCACCAAACGCATATGTGCTATACACAGGAGTGTATTAGGCGTGTCATATTCCCATTCTACTGAATATGATGCCTTTTACAAATTCGGCTAGTGTAGAATAAGCATGTCATCTGTGTTCGTTTCCAGAGCATATGTTTCTTTAAAATTAAATTAAAGTAATCCTGCTCTGATAGGATGCAGCCGCGTCACGCCACCTCCCTCTGTCATCTCACCCCCTCCCTAACTCACACTAACGCTCCTGCCCCGAACCTATCAACCCCCAAACCACAGCTCTCTGGTCTGTGTGCGCATGTCCTGGCCCTACTGCATATGTTACAAGAATGTTCTCTGGAATTTTCGGTTCCGTGTGTTTTGGCAGCTGTTGATTTTATATAACATGAAACACACACAAAAAAACATGATGAAAGACTATTAGTTTGAGTAATTAATCACTAAATAACTATAAGTGATTGCACCTATGTAAGAAGAAATCAACTGGAATATTTATAGTGGTAAAAATTTTATTCACGTTTGTTGCAAATTCACAGTATTGTTTTTGTCTTAGTTTGGTCTCTAAAATCAAAAGAGACCATTAGCACATAAAAATGAATGCACCAATTACAATTTTTTTTTTTCCCAAATAGTCATGATCAGTCTCACACAAAAAAATATCCGGTACCATTTTACTTACAGTGGCATAGACCAGGAGAATACAGTTTTAAAAGATCTTTAAAAAGAGTGGAAATGTTGCTCCTTTCCAATGAATGAAATGGCTACCTGGTCAATGTAACTACGAACTACTGTATTTACAGGGTGGGTGTGGACAACAGACAATAGACAACAATGAAAAGTAACTAGAACTAAAAACTCACTCACTTATAAAAACACATATTGACAAAATATATAAAACTTTCAGTACCTGAAAGCGTAAAAAATGTACATTGTTTTTGCAAGTTCAACTGATGTAGTTACAACAGAAACATCTATCCACACAGAGCCACAATGCTCTGACAGTTCATAATGTAAAAACTAAATAAAGATAAAGACTACTACTGTTGTATGAAGATAGTGTTTGGTTAACAACACTTGGCTTGTATCACAGATTTTTGTCAAATGGCTTGAAGAGTCAGTAGAGATCAAGAATCCCCATAGTTTATGATAGAGATTTCCCTTTTGTCATTTCTGCAAAGTTAAGAAAAGAAGATTTTACCGCATATTCAAATAAACAATTTGAACATTAATTAGCACTTACCATATTCAGTTCCAATTTTCCTGGCCACTGTGGGAAAGAAACCAAATAATAAATAAATTAATATTTTCTATTATAAAAAAAAAAAAAAATACAGATAATGTATAATAATAATGTATGGAAAACATGCATTAGATACACATCATACACTTAATGTTTCATGCACAGATGGGGTTCTAGGGTTATAATGAGAAAAACTAATTAGAGGATTGAAATTAAAACGCCTGTTCTAGAAACATATTCACATACTTACTAGTACAGAACCGTTCATAAGTTGCTCCTCATAATATTGTGCATTTTCTAAGCACCACTAACAATGTTTTCAGAGTAATGGTTTAAAATCCACAAGGTTTGTAATTTAAAGATGCACTATGCAACTTTTCTTATGAAGCTCCACCAAGTACTCAACTGCATGGAGACATTATTGATTTGCCTGGAATGTTCCACAGTAGAGCATTAAACCTGTCTACCTCCATGTTTCCTCTATCTCCAAGTTTAACATCACTGTGTAGCATTCAAGGCAAAGCCATCATAGTTAGTTAGTTTTTTTAATTTCAAACCTGCACATACAATTCACAATACAACATAATCATCATATCTCCATGAGACAGATGACAGACCCTCCACCAGAAAAGTTATACTGTGCACTTTTTTTCAAAGTGCAGTAGTATATAAGTGTTGATGGAAGATCAGTGCAAGATGAAAAAGTGTCAGTATCAGCCTCCAGATGAAAAAATGAATGAATGAACAGACGGACTGATTAGTTGGTGAGTAGATTATTTGAAATGACGACCTCTCAAGTACCTTCCTGCTGGGGGAGAATGTTCCTTTGCATCACCAGTCGGGGTAACAAGGTGGAGCAGAGGCACGAGGGAACCGGCTCATAGTGTCAAAATAAGGGGAGCAGCTACATATACAAACACATAAGCACTTTAGTTGCAATCAATATCATTCATGGAGAATGATTTTTACTTCTCAATGCTCAAAAGGTGACTACAGTCAGAGATTATTGATGAAACTGGGTTCATAAGACTCCAACAACCCGTAACGCCACAAAAGAGCAGGAGATGCTGATTAGATGAGGAAGTGAAGACATGCAGTCCAATCCATAATAGGACGGGAAAGCAGATGTAAAAGCTCATGCTGAAGTAAGTGGCAAGATATGAAAGTAAGGGTGACAAAAGTCTTGCTGTATTGAAGAAAAGCCAAAGAGAGTTCATGAAAGAGAGTTCATGAAAAGAAAGAATATAAACAGATGAAATAAGAACAATACTAGGAAACAGTGAAGGACAAAACCAGTAGATATTGGACTAAATATAGGAAAATGTGGAAACTCACTCTTCAAAGACATCCTCTGTGTCCATTCTTCTGTAGTATTTGGCCAATTTCACAGAGAAGATAATACTGGGAATAAGCAGGATGCAACAGCCTCCCAAACCAAACCAGAAGGTGTTCTGAAACACAAACAAGATCAACTACTGCAAGAAAATTGTAACACATTTATACATTTCCTCCTCCGGTTCTAATGTGGTTCTTTGAGGTTTCTAAATTACATTGTATAGGGCACCAATTAAAATGCCCTTCATATAGAAAGCATGTGTGTGAGCCTTAGCACAGTCTAATGAGGCTCAGAACATCCTGTCCTCCCCAGTCACACGTGCACACATGTACAGTGGCTGCAGCCAGGATATAACAGATTCTCTGTTTTATTTACCACACTGCATGGCTTCTTTGACCCTTTCATTTGCTCACAAACTCAACATGTATGATATACAGCTAATATATAAACATTAACTTTACTGCTCAGCTGAGCCAGAGGCTGAATATAGTGAAGGATCTTTGTTCTATCGCTCTACTTCTTTAAATGTGTGTGCTGTGCTGGGGGCTTGGGAACATGCTGTCCTCATGTATGTGAAAGTAGCCATGTTTTATTCCCCAAGCCCTTCACTCTCAAAGAGGCCTTCTTGTTTCTGGTCCACATCCAGCTGCACATGGTCTACACACACGCTCACAGTGTTCTGGCTCTTACCACAGAGTCGATAATGAAGCTGCACGTTACTATCTCCAGACTGTCCACAATGTTACTGATGGGCTTACACTGCGCCACCTCTGCAATCAGCTGTGGATGCAGACACCAGCTGGTAAGTATCCACTTTATTTATTTATTTAAGTTAATCATTTATGAGACAGATTATATACTCACAGAGTTTTTTACCCAGTTTGTGTACTGTTTGAAGTATCCTATGAGACTGTCTGTGTAGGCTTTTGTTTCCTGAAATGGCACAAATACATTTAAAATTACACAGCACCAAACAGCTTTTATCTGTCTGACATAAATATGGCTGCAGCTGTATAAACCATAAGGTAAGGAACAAGTAATGAAAAGTTATGTAAACCACCTGAGTGGATCTTTTTTAGCCATGCTGCATTTTCTATAAGATTGTCTTTACCTGTTTGACTACATGGGAGGCGTTGTGTGTGATCAGGTACTCTGCTGCATCAATAGCACTCAGGATATTGTTGACCTTTACCTGTACGTAAGTGAAATACGTATTTTCATGTTTTCATGCCTTTTTTATTTAAACAATGTGAAAAAACGAATCTTGTCTTACAGGAAGCTCAGTGGACGTCCTCTGCAGCTGTTTGATACTCTGACTCATTGTACTCTGTAAGCCAAGAACATACAGTATAGTAGTTATGTAATTGAATCTCAGACACATTGGAACAGCTAACGAAAACACAATTCACAGAACAGCACAGTTTCACATCTGCTACAGCCAGGTCATTCCACAGGGTCTTACACTAAAATCAGCTTACCCGTGCTTTGACAAATTTCTGCCATCATAAAGTGATTTCAGAAAGGAAGAAGAAAAAGCTTGTATTGCTTATGCTGGACACTGGACTTGAGTTGAGTGGATGTATGGTAGGTAAAGAGATACTCACCATGGCTTGCTCCAGTGGAAGGACCTGCTCTCTGTGAATTTGTCGAATACTGCTCGCATGTCCTTTCAGGGCATTTTCTAATGCCCCACGTGGCTGATGGGAAATTGCAAACATAGTCAACAACTGAGTTAACATTTGTTCAAAATGCAGATAACCTCTATTTAGCTAATAAAGAGAGAAGAAAATCTGTTTTACAATTACCAGGTTGTCAGCCTGAGCTTCTAAGTCTGCAGAAAATGATAGCAAATCCACGAGAGTGACCCCTTTGTTTAGCTGAAAATTATGCAAATAATGATGCATTATTAAACAATCATCTGTGTAGTACAATTTCTCAAAATTATGTCTTTAATTTCTGTCCCTTAAGTAGACAACCGGATACTAACTCTTAATGCATTGTAATGTGACATTTGGGTCATAGTTTTAGGTGAACAATAGTTTTGAGTTCAGTGCACATACCCTTTAATCTAAAAGTCTTTTCCAGAAAAATCATTTACAAAGTGTGCAACAAGAATTTACAGCACAGGATGGACCTATTATGTAATGCAGCCTCTAATCCATTCGCTCTATAACAAACAAGAGGGCTTACCTCGGCCAGGTACGCCTGGTAGTCGATGTGTCCAAGTCCTGCGTTGGCAAAGTTGATGAGGTTGTCTCTGCCAGCCTGCTCCAGCAGTGAGACGTCTTGCAGATCCACCTGCACACCTTCCAAGAGTTTTGAGAGGTCCTTGTTGTACTGCAATAAGAAAAGACACAAACATGTGTTTATCACTATCACAAACAATGTAACCATTCATTATTGTGACCAGTTGGAAGCAGGTGCATACCACAGTTCTGTTGAAGAAGGAGTTGACATTGAACAATGTTTCTAGTTGCAGAGCATGGTACAGGCCATTGTTTTCATAGCATTCTCTGCAAAGAAAAACAAAGCAAAACAAAAATGTTGCCATTAAATTGTTATGACACAATGAAATATGTGAGATTTCTTCACATTTTTACAGACCAGCAGGTGGCACCGTTTACCTGTACATGCTTCCAATAGTCAAGTCTATGTTGGGATTTTGGAAGAGCATCCCTGGAAGAAAGTTCTTCTTTGCCGGATGAACCAGGAATGGAGTGTCAATGATCTACCCATGAAACACAATAAACAGGTCAATATGTGACAGCACTGAACTGTAGGGTTCATTATGTAACAGTGTCATCTGAATGAAGCACTGCGAGTGACAGAGCACAGCAATAGGCCACTATAGTACCTTGAATATCTGCCTGTTGGCCAGAGGCTCACATAGCATCTTCTCCACGTTGCCACCGACAACAAACAGGGTCATTACCAAGGCCATAAGCACCCAAGAAAAGAGGAAGGAGAAGCCTACCCCACTGCAAAAACACAATATAAGACCATAATTATCATCAAAAACATTCTTCATCAATAACAGTGTTTTTAATGATAAACACATGAACACATGAACACATGTAACGTGGTAACGTACGCCATGAGTAGGTTGCCCCCGGTATTGGAAAGGCAGCCACGGGTGGTGGGCGTGGCCTGTTTGTCATAACCACAGGTGCCACACAGCAGACCCAGGAGATTGAAGGCCAGGACCAGGACCACCATGCACAGAATCACCACACAGCCAATCCACCTGGAGGACAGACAATAAACATAAACACAGAACTCAATTTGAGAATATGATTCTGACTGAGCCCTTTGAAAATATGTCTCGAAAGAACTTAATTGAAGCAAACATGTCTTTATAATGTTGTGTTATAATATTTGTCATATTTGTGGTGACAATTATAGACTATATGGTAAAACCAACCTGTAAAAGTCCATCTGATCTATCTGTGGGTAATATGCTTCAATATTTTTCTGGCCTTGACTGAGGAAAATAGTGAAATTCGTCAAAGAGGCTTCTACTGGGTACATTTTGGCGAAATTGGTGATCTCTGAGCCAGTCTTATCCAGCATGCCTTTCACTCCTGTAGAGAGACACATAGAAAAAAAACATATATTTGGTATCACTTTATAATTAATACATCTCAATTAGCCTATATAAAGCATGAACAAATCATAATAAACAAATAGTTAATTAAGGGGTTAAGGTTAAATGACTGAGTCTGAATCATTCTAGAAAACTATTTGTTCATGACGAATTAAATCTTAAGAGTTTTGAGACGAAGATAGAACTTACGAGGCAAAGCTGTACATAGACGTGGCGTGAGGGAAAAGAAAAGCAGCAAGTTAAGTTTAGTCGGGTTAGTTATATCAAACTATCTGATTTATTAATACGATTTTCATTTTCAGACTTGAACTACTACAAAGGTCGGGTAGTGTACCTGCAACAATATTTCTAGTTTGTTCTTTAACCAGTTTGGGAGTGTCATTAAAAGATGAGTAACCCTGAAAGTGAAGTCAAAGAAGAGAGAAAAGCAAAGAATGTGTTTTCTATTAACAAAATGTTGAGAAACTTTTTAAAACAAATATTTAAACTTGTTGAGAGAGCCTTACCTTTTGTAAAATGTTGCTCAGGTCTGTTTTGAGGACATTATTGACATTATCCAAGGCATGGTTGACATCTGGAAGCTGAAAGAAGAACAAACAAAATGAGTAAACATTCAAAATACACATTGTTAACATTCATAAAAATAAAGATGACAGATTTATTCTGGAACTGGGTGATAATGAATCACACACTTAAATTATCAGCATTTTGTTCATCGTAAACCACAATACTGATGTGAAATCAGTTAAAAATAGGAAGAGGTTTATAGAGCTCAACAGTGACCACTCACTCCTGTTTTGGAGCAAAATTTTCCAGTCATTTTTCCCATAAACTTTTACATTTTTCAAGAAAGTCAAATTTCAAAGTTCAGAGACATCAGGCTAACCAACTTATCTGGTCACTAACATCCATAACACAGATGTTTTAAGTCCAAAAAGCACATTCAAAGTGCAAGATTCAGTCCTCAAAACTCAGCTTTAAAAACTCAAAGGTTAAAAAGTTTAAGAAACAGATTTTAAATAAAATTGTAGATCTTATGCTCATTAGTCACCATGTAGCTGAACAGCCCTGAGCAAGCACTGAAACTTTTAAATCTCTTTTTTTTCTGAAAGTCTATGGAAAAACTTCCAGAATAGTGGGCGGTCACTGTTAAGCTCCATAGTCCCCCTGATTAGAGAAAAAAAAAATTCTGCATGGTTAAAATCAATGTTCATTCACCTTTAACTAAACACAAATATTAAATAAAATATGGGGACATTCCCATAAGATTTTGAGCCAGCATATGGACACACAAAGACTGAGCAGTGCAAAAAAAAGTGCCAACTATCAAACAAATTTTCAATATCTCATCAATATCGATATCTGGAGAAACTCACCAATATGACTGATAACCTATCCGTAATAAAAACATAAAATCCTGGGTGCATTTCTTGGTTACCTTGGAGAAGTCAGCGCTGACCCCCAGTTGAGCTAGCGTGGAGCGGATGGCGTTACATGTGGGGGACACGGCTCCGTTGGTGCAGGCCGGGTCAGACAGAGTGTTGGACAGAGACGCTCGCTCTCCGGACAGGCTGTTCTGGAGTTTGGATGTTCCCTCCTGAAGCACTTCCAGAGATGAGCCCACACTCTCCAGCGCCTCTTTGGTTTCACGCATGGCTGCAAAAAATGACACAAATACCCAATATCAACCAATAACAGTGCAAAGATACTATACTATTTTCCTCAAAACAAAAAATATTATATAACAAAATGTGTTATGTAGCTCTTATTTATCTTTCAAGTCACTACAGAACAATTATGTATTCAAAGCTCAAACATTCTGAGACCACATACAATCTGTAAAATTGTCTTACTACATCAATTTCTAGACCCAACCAGAATATCAGCAGAACCAATATTTTAGAGCCGGTATCCAATCCAGCAAAATTTCATGGATCAGAGCTGATATTTGATACCAGTATCAGATTGGTGCATCCCTAGTTATAAAACCTACAAACAATATGTAATCTAAACATCATTAATCTGCATTGTGTCTCTTCTATCCTCCTTGCCCTTCCTGATAGATAAAATAAAATAAAGACATTTGTTTTGAAAATCTGATAAAACAAATACAATGTTATACAGTAAATATATTGAAATAATGGTTGAAGGAAAGTATGGGGCAATGATTTGATAAAATTTTCCATAACTTGAAAAAATAGCACCTTCAATGTTTTGTTTATAGTGAAAAAGTTAAAAGACAAAGCACATTCTTGAAAGACACGCAGTTAAGAATGTCAGAAATAACTTGGACTAATTACGAACAGAGACAGTATGCAAACACCAGAGGACACATAGTAGTAACACTGAAACAAACACATTTCTAAAACCAACACAGATTACATGAGGTCAAGATACAAAGCCGTTTACACAAGTCACAGTAGGACAGGTGGGATAAACACACACCAAGTCACAACTGAAACTTAGATGAAGAATCTTCACTTTACCTTTGATGGCACTCTCAACTTTGGCTTTAATTTAAAAAGATCAGAGTGACAAAATGCAGTTTATAACATAACTATAACACATTACTGTAATTTGATGATGTAGGCCAAATGAGATACCTCCTGCCATGCGCAAAGCTGTATCCAGTGATGGTACCACATCCTTTTCCAGCTGATTCTGTATCCTTCCGCCCAACAAAGGTCCAATGTCTGTTAAAGAGGTTACCCAGGTCAAACGTAGAGAAACACAACTAGACATCATGCTCATTTATGTAAACAGTAAAAGTTTATCTTACTATCCAAATCTGAAAGCACTTTGTTCTTGGCTGTGGTGTACTGGGCTGTCAAGTATTCAATTTGCTGTAACAAATTTGCATCAATAGTTAGACAAAAGAATTGAGATTTAAATTTAACATGTAAACATCAATGTTGAGTAATGTACCGAAGGGGTGTTGTTAGCCAGTGTTTTCAAGTCTCTCAGATTAGTGTTGATAAAGCGGCGGGTGCTCTTGATCTGGGCGCTGATGTTGTGGTTGGCAGCGTAGGAAATAAGGACCCCCAAACTGAAAATATACCAGATACAAACACAAAAAATAACTATGCAGTACTCAGTGTTAACCAGAAGAGGGTGGTATTGGTAAACATTTATACATTTTCACTGTAATTTGTTAAGAGCTATTAAATAGTCAGAGCAAGGTAAAGTACCAACAGCTAAATGTTCTGCACTTTTGGAATCAACTTTTCATGTACATTGTTCAAAATTGTATACAACCATGTAGACCAATAAAAGGCAAATTTGTGGTATGTCTCTCAATCAGTTCAAAATAAAAATTGGACGGGTCTCTGCCATTTTTGCATTTTAAATACAAATGTTTAAAGGTAGATTAAACATCTATGCATTGTAAGCAGACTCCCTTTTTGTTAATAGGACAATATAATAATAAACATAAAGAAAATGTGATACCCATAAACATTTTGAGATGAAAAAAGAGATGAGATATGAGAGGGACTGATAATGTATATTTTAAAACTGGATGCACTGACCAAATCACTTTAGAGAAGTTGAATCAAACGGAGAAAAAACTAAAAAAGTACTTTGCCTTTTTCTAAGATTAATATCATTTTTCTCTATTTTGCACAAACAGGATTAAGATACACCCAGATATTAGAATAAAAACAACAACTTAATAATAACTACACCTTAATTAGCCTAAAACATGAACAAAAACTGAATTCATAATGAATAGTTCATAATCAAATAGTTTATTCAGGTTTAAAAACTACCTAATTGAGAGGTTTGAACTTTTGGTTACGCAATGAATTAAGTAGTGACTAAGCCTGAATAATTATTGGTGGTTTTCCGACGCTAAAATGTGATATCATATGCCCATATGGGGGCAGGAGCCAGATTTCCCTACTGACTACATTGGACTTTGCCATGAAATATCCAAAAGGTGAATTCACAAATGTGAATGCATTTGAACAACATTAATTTGAGCTGCTCCCATCTGTATTCATTATTATTAGCCAATTCGCCTTATTGCAGAAGTTGCCGTTAGCACCATCATTGGGGTTGTATTATTATTTTGACTGGGACTGTCAAACTCCCCAGTAAAAAGTATCTATCTGGACCACAAAGCCTCACAGAGAATCAATGCAGTGTTGACTTGTTGAGGCACATGAACACTGAACATTTTACACAAATAAAACTACTTTATTTCATATTTTCTCAATTGGAATGAATGGGATTCTCGCATAACCGGCAGTGCCACCACAAAGAAAGTGTTGTAGTTGCAATTAAGGCTAAAGAGGGCAGGGCGAAACAAGGTCATTAGAATGTTATGAAATCATCTGAAACCGGCCAATTTGTTCATGCTTTATTAATGTAGTTATTATAAAGTGTAAGACAAATGTATTGTAAATAAATGTATAATTAATAGAAACAGTGGAATAGCTCACACGATGAAGATGGAGGTAGCGATGAGAGATGCGGTGTAGACTCCTCGCTGACAGTCTGCGTTCTTCCTCTGCCTCTGATGCATCTCGCCTCCACAGTTCTCACAGCAGCGGCACACGCAGAAACAGGTGCCGATGATGGGGATGAGCACCACAAACAGGAGGCCAATCACTGCACATATCAAGAACCCCGCTTCATAGTAGATCCACTGGAGACAGAAATATACATATATTTACAAAGTTGTTCTCACAGCTCTATCTTTCCACGGTTGTTAGAAAATGTTGATAAAATCGCTCCATGTTCTCAGGTTTTAGGAATTTTACTTTTGTCATGGTTAGCACTTACAGGGCTGTAGTAAAGGTAAGTACTTTGTTATAAGGTTTTGGTTAAGTTTAAGGCCTTTTTGTAAGATAATGGTTACATTTTAGGCTTTGTTGTTGTGTTATGGTTAGAGTCTCATTGTGGGATTATGGTTAAGGTAAGGGCCTGGTTGTGAGTAGTGCTGCAAGATTAATTACAATAAAATCAAAATTGCAATGAGAAAAAAACGCAATTTAGCAAACCAAAGGCTGCAATAAAAAAGTACAATAATTTTCTCCACAAACAACAAAATAGCCTGTCTTACTCTGCATAAAAACTACTAACCCTGTACTTTAGATCTGTACAGACATGTTCTAAAATGTGATCAGCTTGTCAGTTCATATTTCATTGTCTTTTTGTCAATTCTTCTGGATGTGTTTCAAATGTGAACTTTGATTCGAATCCTAATATTAAAATATTAGTATGGATTTACTTTTAGAATGTCTTTCAAAGGTCCTATATTATATGAAATTAACTTTTGTGAGCTTTAAGCTATGTTAGAATGTTGTTTTCTCATCAAAAATATTCTTGGAGCTGTGTTTTGTTTCATTCACACATGTTTGAGTAATCTTTTGTTATTCTGTTTGATAAGAACTCATCCTAAATATGCAGGATTTGTGTGTTTAACATGTGTGAATTAAACAAAAAACAACTCCAGGTATGTGACGAGGAAACAACACTATAACATAGATCAGAAAATAGCATGGGAACTTAGAACTGCACATATCCTGTTCATAAGAGTGTATGGTGTGTGGGTGAGAGATTTCAGTGAAGGAGCTTACCTGTAGCAACAAGACGACGTTTTCTGGCTGGAGCACCACAAATGTACAGGCAGGAAAGAAAAGAAAACAATTTTACAACAGGTGCAAAAGTTATCATTGGATTCTACAGAACAGGTCACACATCACCCAAAGCACTAACAAAATAAAATTCCGCTATGTGGAATACTATGAGAAATATAATCATGTAATATATGTATAATATGTCAAATTTTCTAATGTAATAGATAATAATGTAATTATATACTGTGAAAAAACTCATAAAAACAAGTACAAATCAGTGGCTGTGGTTGGCAAAGAAAGATTTAACTTAATACATACCTTTCTCCACTCTTCAAATTTGATGCCCCCCATGTTTTGCTGTATAACTTTCACAATGAGATCTGATAAAAAGAGACAAATCGAGATAATTAATAAACATGTTTTTAAAGAGGGGGTATTACACTTCTATGGTATATACTGCTAACACATAACATATTTAGATCACCCTGTTACCTTTTATTGCTGTAAAGACAACATATTAACAGATTTTATGAGTTTCCCTTTTCTTTTTGATTCCCCCCTTCCTTTGCCCCTGTGTTCGCTCCCCTTCAGAGTACTATTACAAAACATTAGCATGTATTCCCCTGATGAAACTATTAGGTTTGTGAAGTTGTTGTGTATAGTTTTGTATCATGCTTTTGTATATTTATGGAGAATTGTCATATGGGAGAATGGGTGACATAGGTGCGTGGGTGGAGCATTAGACAGAATCTTACAGCTAACCATAATGAGGTTTCAAATATGACCAAATATACATGAATGAGATCTAAAACCTCATCAGGCATGTTTCTGATGAGGGAACAATGTAATAATATGGTAGAAAGCTCAAAAAAGTGGATTTTGCATAACACCCCCTTGTTAATGTGTATGCATGTTACAAACTTCAAACTCAATTTTGATACAAGAAAAAAGGTTTAATAATTGACACCAATTTCAAAACCCTGATGATTAAATCACAAATCTTTTAGACAATAATGGTTGGAATTTTCAACACAAAATATATTTTCTTTAATATTATCATGTGAACTTGTACTGCACTAGTTCTGATATCTATACAATACTAAAACTAATCAAGAAAAGTCCAATTTTGTAGTATGTGTGCAATGAAGAAAACAATTGGTACACAGAAAAAGTACAGCTGGTGTACAATCTTGGACCAGACAAAACACAGATGTATCCATGTCTTTTGTTTATGTTTAGTAAAGATCTCCATGGTAGTTTAGATGTGAGGCAGAGCGGCCCAACTGTCAGTCTCCAGGATGTAGGTCAGCCTGCTAAGCCTACCTGCACCACTGACTCACCCAAACTGTTACTCAGCCGGTAAACACATACAAATACTGGAGGATATGGACTAACTTTAATGTATGAGTGAGGACTGAATGTATCTCTGTATGAAATGAGTAGGTATTGTATTAATAACTACGATAGTTAGTCTGGGAAATGAATCCAGTTGTAATTGAACAAGTGTTTCAAATGGTCAATGATCAGCTTGTCTTGATGCTTTTTAATTTCAGCCCGTAGCAGTAAAGCATGTGGTTTGGAGCAGTCTTGACAGTTACAACGAACTTCTTCAGTTCTGATTATATTTATGTTTGAAAATTTAAAGCAAACTAAAATCATTAAACATAAAAAAGTGATCACATATTCTGCCATGTCACTCAAATAGGGCTGCAAATAACAATTTACAGTTCACATATTTAGATAAGTGAATAATCCAGTGACTCTTGTGATTAATTGATTAATTGTAATTTCTAAGTATTTGACCTATATCCAGGTGACTTCTGATGAGGTTCAGAATCCCTTCAACAGATGAGGGTTCTTTCCACTGGAATTATGGGCTCCATTTACTTTATAATGAATCCATAAACGACTTTTGTTTTTTACAGTCTGCGACTAATATACATAACTAAAGCAAATTTTCAGTTAAGATTTATTAAGAATTAAACTAAAAATGTACTTCTGGACTGTGCAGTGAATCCATTTTGTTTTTAATCAATTTGCGATCAACTTGACTGACAATGAGGGGCTTGAGGCTTGGGGCTTGATGAAGCAATCATTAAAAGTTTGTTGAGCAGTGTTTGGATTAATTGGATTCTGTAAATGGCACTGATTTGGAAAGCATTAAGTTGCTATTTATTTAATAGGTCTGTCTGTCTGTTCATAACCATTATTAAAAAAATAAGATGAGTTTGACCAATTTGAGTAAACATGAAAGCCTTTCAAGAACTTTAATTGACTTGTTCTGAAAAGGCTGTTTGATGACACATTTAGCATGCTGCTAACAGTAACGCTGTCCCTGGTGCTTACACATCTCTCTGACCCTGAATGAGGTGAAACATCAGACCCGGTCGTGACTGCCATCTGTAATTAGATTGGCCCACCTGGCCCTGTTGTAATACCACATATCACTACTAGATCTATCTACATTACTGCTTTACTGCTGTCTGATTTTGTCAGCTTTGACCTAACAGAAAAAGAACAGAGAGCACAGGTGAGTGTCAACAAAGGACAGGTAGCGGGGAAGGAGGGGGAACAGGTTTCACTGCCATCTACTGGCGAAAAAAATCAAATAAAAGTTATGAAAGGTGGCTTAAAGAGCTACTATAGTAATTACAAGGTAACGCTTATGCTGATCAGACCCACTTGCTGAATGATCTTTGAATGATCTTTTGAATGATCACACATTTAGTGTGACTACTACTCTTGTATGCATCAATGCATCAACTTATGTTTGATTTTGAGATGAAAAACTATTTCCAAAACATGGTAATGGGTTTTCATTTGTGATTTGTTGTATTTATGTATAAGTTGAAATACAGTTTTTTTTTTAGATTCTTCATAGAAAAGTGAAAAGACCATCTTAGTAAAAGGTGGTGGTCACTGGGGTCTTTAGTAACATGGATAATCTTCTCAGCACCACCTTCTCCAAATCTGTGAGGGAGATGTTAGTGTCCTAAGATCTTTTCTCCTGTATCTGACAGTTTGAAATAAGATTTCATGAAATCAAACAAAAATACTGCACTATGTACAGCCACTATGTGTGAGATAGAAATGCATGAACATAACTCGACTTGTTGTATGAACACACTGGAGTTGTTGATGCCACCTGTTGTTGCTCAGGTTCTTAGTTAGCATTAGCCACCAAAGGCAACTAAGCTGAGACAGCTTAGAGGTGTGACCCAGAATAAGGGAGCAACAAAAGAAAATTAGGAGGCAAACATGTTAGGAAACATGACATGGACTGGCCACTGATGCTCACTCTAAATTACAAAATATGCTGTGTATAAAAGGAAACAGTATATAAGGAAAATACTTATTATATTAGAACCAATTATACATAAATATGATTTTACATAAATGATAATATAATGGGAACTTGTAACTCACTTCTATGTACATAAAATGTGGACAATCCTTGAGAGTGACCTACTCTAGGGGATTACAAGGCTTTATGCAACCCCCAAGATCATTTGTACTGTTGAGAGCACCAGCTTTAAGTAACATAAAACAGAATAATTGTATTGAACTTGTATCCTATTAAAACAAGAGCATCAATGTTGTTGTAATTATCTCTAATAATATCCCTAAAATACAAGCAGTCAACTATGAATATCTCAGAATTTGTAACTCCAGCACCATACAAAGGTGAGAACCTATTTTGATTTGGTTTATTATAGTTATGTGTTGTTGTTAAGGCTGGGTACAGTTTAAAGGTAACATATGATTCTGTTTTGTCATTTTATGAACCTTATAAATAATAGGTAGTTCAGGTACTGGTACTGAAAACTAAGTTTGTACAAGTACTTAGTAAAAATATTGAATTTACCCTAACTGTTGTGGGATTATTGAGAAGAAACACTGTTATAGGTGCTTCAGACTAATAAATGTCTAGCGTCAAGATCAGGATTGAGAACTATCAAGCTCAGAAGATAAGAGAACATTTATTTGTCCCATAGAGGAAAAATTCTAACATTGCAATGCACAATTTAAGAAAAGGTGAATAGAAATATGCACTCAGAATCAAGATAAATAAATAAATAGAGACTAAACACAGCACTGTTGTGTAGTGTAATACAATTAAATAAAGTAAAGGCCTACAGCAATAATCAGCAGCTAAAGTGACTTGAGTGTCTTCTACAGGAGACCATTCATATTCTGTTGCAGTATTTCACATGATTACTACAGGAGGACCACATACACATGTTCACTGTACAGTGTAACGAGGAAGAGAAGAGCTCTGCACTGAACTAGACTAGTTCAGTGCAACTCAGAAGTATCCCACGAGCTACTTATGACAGGACAGGTCCAAAACAACATACGTACAATAGGTAAGTCTACTTTACCGTAATGCTGTCTTTAGGGGGGATTTTAATTTCAACTCCTCAACTCATTAACAAGATAGAATTAGATAGAAGTGGTTAGAATTGCCTGGTTAGCTATCTCTTTATAAGTCCATCAGAATTTGTTTTATAGCAGTTTCTCGTTGGACCATTCATAATTATATTGGATCAAGGATTTAGAAATATGCCATTTTGGGGAAAAACAATGTTTCAGTAATACTGTTCAAAGTAGACAATGTAAACAGGTCCAGGGGCAATAATATCTGAGAGAAGACAAAATCTCAGTAACTAATTTTATAACATGTCTGTATAGATCTAAACTACTACAAGATTACAAAGCCTTATACATAATCAGACAGGACTAGCTCAGGACTAGTTCAATAGCTGTCTTTGTGGTTTGGTAATTGTGACCATTCAGATTTTGAATTTGACTGAAATAGATCCTGCAACAAAGAGATCTCAACAATAGTTTACTGTTACACTTGCTTCTGTTTTGAAAAACCTGGACAGTGTGTTTCTGCTAGAGCTGGGCCTTATGACAAAAAACAAAAAAAGAATTTCCATTTGTTTTCTTATACTGATCACATTTTTTTTTTTTTTTTTTTTTAGACAAATAGAAATGCCCTTCAATATTCATTTCCTAAACACAATAGGAATGGGACAATATTGAAATTTGGTGTCACGATGATCATAGCCAAAATAATTGGGATTATGTTGTGATAATTATTAATGTTTTTGGCAGTGTTATAAATATGATTTTGATTTTGTCATTTTAATATTATGAATAAGTTCCATATTTAAACAGCTTTTACAGCGCTGTACTTTACTATAGTTGAAAACAATTCTGCTGATATAATGGTGATTATCTTTGTTAGAGATTATCACAATTATACAAAATGTCCCACAAACGATGATTGTGCTCCCTTTTTATCACAATAAACCATATTATGGTTATTAAAATATTATGGTCCCATTCCATCCCTAAATCATAAGCTATAACACTAGAAATAGAAGTATTTCTTCCTCCAAAGAATGCACTCTGCTCCAGACCTCTGACACTGAGGCCTGGCTGTGGACCTCTCCATTTACAAGCCTCATAGATAAAGATTACATTCCTGGTGTGTGCTCATGGTGATGTAAACCAACAGGTACAATGAACCTGTTAAGTCCCTCCTAGAGAGGGTTCCCCTACAATGAGTCCGAATTATCAAAAAATATCCCTGCTCCACAGTCATACCTAACCCAAACTATGATTAATGTATTTCATTGTCACATGTTCATTTAAGCAAATACACATGACAAATATAACAAATATAAATAGTATAAATATATTTGTTGTTATACAATGCTCACTGTATTTGAGGAAGCATAAGCTGATGTTCAACTCCTCGGTGTGACATACTGAAAGGGAACTAAGAAGCTTACCGGCACATCCTTTCTTTCATAATGATCAAAATGTGACAACAAGATATGCTATGTTTGACAACCACCCTATATTCCAAACACAAGCCAATGCAATACAAAAGTAACCCTGAAAAAGGACGCCCGAAATTGTTAATTTGCCTCCCTGTTTTGCATTAGTAATACACAATAACACACATCCTGAAGAAAAAAAATGACAGTAAAAATAAGGCCAAACAAACAGACACCCAGACTATGACCCACTTTTGTGTGTGTGTGTGTGTGTGTCTGTGTGTGTGTGTGTGTGTGTGTGTGTGTGTGTGCGTGTGCGTGTGTGTGTGTGTGCGACAATGCCATCTGTAGTTGTGGTAGCGGTGTAATGTTAGCATTAGCTCTGTGTAGGCTAATCCTCTAATCTACCCACTGTGTATCTCAGGGATAAGACAGCGCCTGCTCTCTCAGAGGCACGTTTCTCATCATAAAAAATACAGGATATATAAAAACACAAACAAACATGAAGGTACAACTATTTGGTTATTTTTGGTGTAGTTTAACACAATACTATATTGCTAAAATGGTTTTAGCTATTGCTTCTAGAAATCTTTTTCATTGCATTAATCCATATGTTATCACTAACAGGGACATCAAACAGAAGGTAGGCTCCCAAGTGCCAACCTGCACCATCAACCCCCACTGACTTCCCCCAATCACTCACACAACACATTCATACTAGGTGGAGTCTAAGAGTCTTGCCAAAGGAAACAATGGCAGTATGCACTGGCCAGAGTGAGGCTCAAACTTCCAACCTTTGGGTTGAAATGCTCAAATTTATTAAAACATATAGCTTAAAGTAAAACCACAGTTTGAAGAATTTTAATCAGTGGTACTTCCTTTAAAAACTGAATATTGGTATATTTGATGTGAATAGTAGCTCTGTGTAGACTGTCATTATGCCCTTCTGTAGATACTTCACCCACCCTGACTCTGTATGCGTGCACATGTGGATGACTGGTGGTGGTTGGTTCAGATATAGTAGAGATATGGTGCACACATGGTGCAGCCTCACTCATCCAGCCTCACTCACCCCTACACACACGACTCGCCCAGAGCAGTCATGTGTGTGGAGAGTGAATGACCAGTGATCACAGTGCAGCGCTTTGAAAGGTTTTTCAAGGTTTTATTTTTATAATGGTTATTATAAAAATGACACTGACATGTTTTTATAACAGTTTTTTGACAATGTTCTGCTTCATCCATTCCTTGTGTAAAGACAAATGTTAACGTGAGGTAGCTTAACCAATTAGTAGTTAGCAAGAGCTCTCATTGTCTTTGAGTCACTAGCAGCTTAACAGTGCCTTATTCCAGTAAAGCACGAGTATTGCATGACAAGTGCTGAGCCTCAGTGCCAAAGATTAATGTTAAGCACTCCTTATATCAAACTATTACATAAGCTTCAGGTCCGTCGTGGTGAAAGTTGCAAACACAGGCAATATGATCTAAAAACATGACAGAGGAGCACAAGGGGTGAAGAGGGGGGCATCCAGGTGGTCTACCCGTGTGTGACAGGGGTTGAAACTGGAAAGTCCCTGGCAGGAGAACCATATGGTCTAGTGGATTAAGGTATTACTCAGTGATGCAGGTGACTGAGAAAGCCTCCTCTAATCGCTGATCTGCTAATTGATTACCCAGCCCACGGCGCTGGGCCTGGACACCAAAATGGCAGCAACTTAAAGTCTTTCAATCCTATTGCACTGTATCATCCTCCAACGTGAGCACTCATAACTGTCCATGAAAGGCTAACAAAACTCTTTTAACCATGTGGCTTTTTATGTATCACTGGGTTACTGGACTACACCACTGGGCCACATTATCATATGGACCTGAACACCAGATGCTAATAACAATGTGTAATAGAGGATCACTTTTGACCTATAACAGCTATTGATCCAACACTTGGACAATTAATCCGGTCATGCTTTTGGTTTATGAGCCATGCCATGTTGATAATTGGTACTGTACATTTGTAATTGGTACAGGCATTTTGATGTAGTGTTTAACAAGATAAAGAGAAGATATTTAGTAATTTTAGACAAGGTGTACTGTGCTACCATGGGCGTCACTGAGCAAATATTTTTCCATGTGATGTCCCTGGACTTTGCCTTGATTTCAGAACGTTTTTCTGAGATGTTCTAAGTCTGTGTGACTATTAGGCAAATGTACCATTATAACTCTACTATTTGGGTGTAAACTTATTTTCAGAGATTTTAGAGGCTATTGCTTGAAAGTCAATATACAGTAAACATTAATATGCTTATGTGATAGACCATATAGTTAACAAAGCTAAATAAACAGAATTTAGAGTGGATAAGCAATAAATGAGGGCTTTTGGTCCTGTCCCAATATATAAATTTGAGGTTTGTTGGCTAGGCCGAGCAGGTGGAGGGGAGGGAGCACTTACCTGAGGGGAAGTTGTTAGGTTGGATGGCGTATAGAAAAGCATGGACCGTGTGGAAGAGAAGTCCAATGGCGCCAGGCTCATAATAAGCATGGGTATCATACACAGCTGCCGGTACAAACCCAAAGTCCAGCGGCTGCACCGGCGAAGAGGAGCGCTGTCTGCGTGAATCAAGAAGGACAACTCCCGGTGTGGTGCTCTCCTGGTCCGCTTGCTCCTCGCCATGTGCGCCCCCCGAATAGAGCAACAGGACCAGCCACGTCGTCCACAACATGGCTCCAAAAGTCTCACACAATGCTAAAAACTAATTCTGAGGTGACGGGTCGCACGAGGCTAGCGGGGGATGGAGACGGGGTGACACCTGTCCTTCCGTGGCTTATCCTCCCTACAGAAGCCTACAAACACGGTCCGACGGGAAAGTTTGGAAGTTATCATCCAGCGGGGTTCGGTAGGCCCCTAACTCGGTTTCGTTCGGTTCGGACGCATCACTGTAGTGGCTTCCACGGTTTGGAGCGTGTGCGCTGGAGGTGATGTGCGCTGTCCGCGGGGGTCACTCTCATCCGCTGCTGCGGGCGCGTGGAGGAGCCTGTGCGCCGCTCGCGGGAGTCTAATCTCGCGCGCACGGACAGCTCAAGAAGGCTCGTGCACGCTCCGAGCTCGTGGTCAGGAGTATCTGTGGCGCGCGACATGACAGGGTCCAATCAGCTGTCACTACCACCGTCACTTTATTTACCGAGCACAGAGGCACACAGAAGCACCGCCTAAACTGTCTATAGCGGCGAGAGCGTTAAAGATGCACTATGTAACTTTACTGGTGGGGAACACGCCGCCTGCATGTATCAGTGGAGATTATTACTTTGCCAGGAATGTTCCACAGTAGTTTCTATCTTGCATTTATTCACTTACAGAGATGCCTTATTACTCTTAAATAGCTCTCCACAGATCTGATTTGTGCTTTAGTCTGTAGAGATCACCTGTTTGTCTCTATGGAGAAGACCGATATAGGACTACTAATGAAATAATATCTACATGGAGATGGTGCACCCTCCACCTGAAAGGCTACCTTATAAATAATGTCAGCTGTCCAGCATAATTCAAATGTTTCTGCCTATACAATAAATATAGGTTTGCATGTAAATCATAATAGACTTATTGTATATAATTGCCTTAATCATTAGTGTAATTATAAAATTGCGTCTTCTGTATAACCCTAAATATGATATAAAAACTTAAACGTAAAAGCTAGGCAAGGTGTGCCAAATCCCCCTGTATCCAGGCAACCATTGCCTTTTCCATAATACTTAATTAAGTATTTTGTGTGTATAGTTAGTAATTTCCAAACAGTATTTCTTACAGCACTGTGTCATTATTTCTAAGAATTTGTTGGCAGACATCCCTCTGAATAGCTATTCAGGTTGCACAGTGGCCTGCTGTCTGCCCTGTGAACAGAAAGGGCAGTGACTCTTTGAATGAAACACTGGCTCTATTCTTGTAGTGACCCTCACACTAAGCACAACTCCAGTGTATCAGAAATAAAGATCCTGAAACAGTTAGAAAGCAAAATCTTTATTCTCCTGCTGCTGTGAAGGAGATGCATTTACACTCAGAAAAGGTAAACAACTGTCAATTTTTGATACGGATGTTATGATGTTTAAGTTCATTCCATTCAAGCACTTCAAATGATCACTCTCACACTCAAACACACTGCCAAGGACATTCTTCAAGTCAATAAAATCCAACCAAACATAAGTTGTAATCATAAGGCCGGAACAAAAAAACAAAACAAAAACAAAACAAGTGTCCTGGATAAAACTAAATGGAATAGTTTGTGACTGCATGTAAACAAATGCAATCAAAATCAAATACCAACTTATGAATATGAGGCAGTTCAATGTTGTCAAAAAGTAATTGATTCATACCCTTCAAAATAATTGCTACAAGCTTGTGTCAATTATTTAAAAACTATTAAATTTGGAAAGGCAAATGCAGAGATGCTTATAAACCAGTGGCCTTCTATCTCATAAAAGGACACCAGAAATATGGTTTTACAGGACTAAATCAATGAACAGCAACTAAAATCAATGTTTTTTCAACTAAAAAAAATAAAAAGGTCAAACAAGTTTTGGTCACTTTCACTAAATTACTGAATCATTAAATGTAAAACACTACACTCTGTTCAATAGTTTATGTTATGGGGTTAAATGAAAATGAAAAAGGAAAACAAATTCACAAAATATTGCATAATTAATGTCTTCTATGAATACGAATATGTTGTGGCAAAAACAAGTGCTTTGCTTAACATTTTCTCTTTAGCCTCATGACGAACACTGACGTCTACTATTCTCTGGGGTTTCCCTGGGCTATGTTTTGGGAGTCCATGAAAATAAAGAATTCCTTATTTTTAGTGTAGTAGACATTACAATAGTCAGGGGTCTATGGAAACAGATCTGTAAGGGGAACCCCTGCAAGATTCACTTCACATTTTGTTTTAGAACATTCTGACAGTGTTTACTGCGATAAACTACGCTCATATTCTTTCATTGATTTGACTTTATGAAATGCACCAGTCAGGCAGTATTTGTAGATCTGTGATGAATTCTGAGTTTACTTGGCAATAGAAATAAAAGGCATGGCAACATGTGTGAAACCAATAAAACATGCATTTACAGCTGCCATGTAAAGAATTTAACATCAGTAACTACAACTGCTCTCTGTACTGACTTCAATGGGCTGTTCAGTCCTGGAGAAGTTTCTTGAAAAAATATCAGAAATTTATTCTAAAAATCATTTCAAATAGAGGTTTTTATAAAAATTAAAAACTGACTGGTCTGCCCTTCATACAACACTTGTGACTGTGCTTGATTGTGCTTTCAAACACATTCTTGCACACACATTCTTGTGTCCACACTTTCACAGTCCCCTCCGCACTGCTATGACACTGCAGGATACAGCGCACAGAAGCCACGACCAAGTGTAGGACACATCTGGCGTATGGGCTTGCAGTGACAGCTTTATTCCTTGGCTGGTTTTGTCAGAAATAAATAAATAAATATTTGAGGGTCAGGTGCAAAAGTACAAGTCCAGCCTGACTGCGTGACCCATACTGTGATCCCTGATTCACACAGTGTTCAGTCTATTCGGTTGCCACATATGGTGAAGCGGTCGATCTCCAGTAAGTCTTTCTTTGGCGTTTTGGGTCTCATGTCTCCTTCTAGGCCTGTGTCCGTGTTGATGATTTTGTTCTCGTCATCTTCGTCGGGTGTAGTAAGGAATGTGTCTGAGTCACTTTTGGGGATGGTGGGAGTAGAGCTGTTGGCCATGTTGGACAGAGGCGGGCTGACGGAAGACAGTGTTATCCCTCCGCGGTCCACTGCAGCTTCTGAAAACAGAACGGTACAGGTCAGAACGTATCAAGCCAGTCCGAGTCATATTGATAAGAAAATGAAAGATACCCTGTTGTGGTAAAGTGTGAATGAGTTTGATTCGATGGGCTCTGGAGTTGGCTCTGCTTGAGGCTGCGGACGGTGGGGGGTCAGACAGTTTTTCTTCCATGTTGGCTTCTTTGACAAACACACAGGAAGTCCCCAGCAGCACAATGCTGTTCAGCACCTTCAGAGTGATCATCCTGCATATTTACATACAGACAGTCATATATATAGTTACAACAAACGTTCCGTTTAACCATCACTGTTAAATAATTTATTTTTTATTTTTTATGTGACAATACAAGAGGACTTGCTGCTTTACAAATTGACCAATGGAACACCATAAAATCATAATCCTTCATCATGAACATTGTCATGAATGTATCCATCAATCTGCCTAGGATCCAAAATTCTCCAATAATTTATGAAGATGTGAGTCTTGTGACATTAATCCAACCAAGCTGACTGACATGACAAAATCAAAACAAATAGTGTTTATGAAAAAAAACAAAAAACAAAGATTCACATGGGACTGAAAAACATCGATATAAGATATCAGGTCATATCAGATATGTATTATGTTCTACATTTCTTAAACATTCTATATCAGGAAAGCTTTTCTGGATTTATATGTGAAATGCTTATGTTTAATTACCCCAAATAGAAGAGTAGAACACACATAAAAGAGAGTGAACCCTGGATCTTCACCGAACTTGTTACCACCCGAATCAACTGAAAGAACAAACAGGACGTTTATAATTAGTATTAATATAAGAGTCACATTGTATTATACTGAGTGTAATTATTAGAAGTATGTAATTATTACTGACCAACAAAGCTAATGGAAGAGGAATGAAGCCCATTCTTCTGGACACAGAGTCACTGTAGTCAGTATAAGCCTGTGGACACATTCAAATACAAATTTAACAAGATTATCTTGTAATTTCATAGTGACACACAGAAGATGTGTATGAATACAATGGTTTGTAAGTTTATAAGACTCACATTTTTCTGGCGACTGCTCACAAGATCAAAAGCAAGGCTTGCCCGGTATTCACCATAGACCTGAGGATTGGAAAATACTATCAAGCTCGGTATAGGAATGAGTTTCAAAACAGATGCATGTAAAACGTATGCTTTACAACAAGCCAAAGTTTAACATTGGCCTATGTGGATTAAAATTGACCGGCAAGTGACATAAATCTATGTGTAAGCAAGGGTTGTGTGATTAGGTTTGACAAGATGGAGATAAAGGGGTTAATCCCTTCCTGTTCACCTGGTATCCCTTACATAACCATGAAGGTTTGAAAGAGTCGAGATGGACTTATCTCTGCAAATGTTAATATGATGTAATGAGCAAGAATAACATATTATATTATAACTAAAATAGATAAATAAAACAGGTAAGACAAATTATCCAAATCTGCCTTAGCAAGTAGAGTAAAATATGTTATTAATTAATAACCAGTTGTGCAGTTAAATAGGCAGAAAAAAAGTCTTAAATTTTTATATGTGACTTACATCTGCACTAATATCATTGAATTTGGTGATGAAGGCATGTTTGACTACATCCACAGCAACCTCAGAGGCTATAACCATGACCACATCAGGAAACAGCACCCACAAGTGGTCTGAACACAAACACAAAAATCATGTTAGTGCACCATTAGTACGTGTGTTAGACTGATATAATATATTATGAAGTGTAGATATTGATTTCATTTTGTATAGATATAGATTTTTTTTGTTTTTGTAGATATTGATTTTATTTTGTCCAGCATTTACCAGGGTTCCATGAAAACTGCTCCATGTTCCTCAGACATACAATGAGCAGAAGGATGTAATTGGTGAACCTTTCTTTTATATCTGTAAAAACAAATCAACACAACATCAGTAAACATTTTAACCTAGAATAATATCAGCAGGTATGCACACCAATTACATAATTCATTTTGTACTTACCGCTATTTGACATTTGGAAAAGATTGTTCTTTTCAAACTTCTTAAACACACTTCCTTTGATTTCCACAAACTGTAAAATTAGCACAACAATTACGGTTTATATTATAGTTACATTAACTGTTAGTTAAGTCTGCTTAATTCTACTTACGTTGTTGGACATCATAATGGTCAGTAGGGACTTGTTGTGAGAGTTGAAGGCTACATTGAGAGTGGTGGCCTGAACCATAATAAGAATGGCATGGAGAACTTGGGACATGTTGAGGAAACATTTATCTTAATCTGCTATGTCTGAATTACATAATACACATAAGATATGCGTCACTCCTGAACTAAATCACATAAGGAGAAGCCCATGACAAATACTGAAAAAGATCTTTCCACTGGCATCCATGTTTACGCAATACAAATAAACTCTTTGTTTGCTGGAATCAGTTCCAGTATACTGAAAGCAATGTGCATTTTTACACTTTGTACTTACCAAAACTATTTTGTCAGTGTTTTTGTCAATTATTCACATTACTGTGCATAAAGAAATAATTAATGCTCAATCTCACAGCCTTATTGTTAAAAACTGACTGATCTATCTCTCATCTTTCACAGTATAAATTTGGAGTGTCACCCATTGCAAATTTACTCTGTTTGTCTGTGTTTTAGAGCCATGTTCAGGGAGGCCATGTATGCATGCAGGTTTTCTAGAAAAACGAAAAATATTTTAACTCTGTTTTCACACTTCCCTTGAAAGATGTCTGTGAACATATATATATATATATATATATATATACATACATACATATTCTTTGAATGTTTTTCAGTTATTTTTAGACCTAGGTTAGGCAGCATCAAAACCGATGTAGACATGCCACCTAACTTGAGTCTGTCTACGCCTCCACCTGCCCTGATACCATCTGTATAGGGCATCACGTTAGTGAAGGATACAGACATAGAGCACAGCCATGAAGAAGTGTGGAATCACTCCTATGTGTGCCCTCTTCTTTTCCTTTGGCTCAGTCGCGGTCCAGTACAAAGCGTCCAATATGTCCTGGCCGAAGGAGGAGAACAGGCGATCTGCCACCTGACCATGACAAACAGCATTAATGAAAAACATCTACAGTTCTAGGCCAGGCACAAAAAGATCGCTTAACTGACTTAAATGACTTATTTGACTTATTGCTTAATATATGAAAGTTGGAACCATATTTTTAGGGCTTAATATTTATCATGTATCGATTTTCTTTGGATTAGTGGAGAGATTTTTGTTATTTTTGTAGTATTATAAGATTTGAGCACTAGAGAGTCAAATAAGTAACTTCTCTGACTGAAGTGTTTCATTCTATTATGAATGAAAAACTGTTAACTTGCTTTAGAGTTAGTGCATCAGTTGAATAGAGGAGTTTCAAGGGCATCATTTATTGTGATATTTTTATGAATATGTCACACTACAAAATTGGTTATAGTCCTAAATTCAAGTACCACTGTTTAACTTGTTTCCATACCTCTAACATGTTGTAAATGATGTAGAGCTTGATGACAGATTGGCCCCGTATGAGGTGGTACATCATGGCATAGTCCACGTAACTCATCATGGAGTAACACAGCACCATGATGAAGCCTTTGAGCACATCGCACACCTGGGCCGGCTGCAGCAAACGGGAACCACTGAGGAAAGCAGAAGAGACACAGAAAACATACTTTAAAACTAAGATTATGGTGGTTAAGTAAAAGTCTAATATAAAACAATATATGGTAAAGAGATGGGCCATATAAATAATTATCAATAATATCATTGCGAATGTTGTTTTGAAGATATGGAGTTAAACTAAAAAGTCCAAATGCTGCAAACTGATAGGTTAAATGGAACAAACATAGTACTTAGGCAACAAGTGATATTTCTGCACATTTGATTTTGATTGAATTTTACAGCTCTTTCACATATGTCCAATACTTCATCCTCCATCATCACATTTAAGGGCATTCTTTTGGACAGACAAAATATCTTCTGATTATCTAGGAAAAGTTTTAGAAATATTGTTTTTTGGTCATTACAACCAATCCCTAGTATTATACATACAAGGTTCTTTATATAACTTTTGTAGAAGGGGGACCACCACTATCTTCATGAAGATGTTTAAAGCACTAAAGCGGAATTATCTGTCTGGCATGATATGTGTAGCCAGGTTAGGTCACGAACCCTCCTCCAGAAGAGTTACATCATGCACCTTTAAGCCATCTTTACATATAAAATACTTTCAGATAATAAACTGGGAGGTCAATAGAAATGAAAAACATTTTGTTGATGTGATATGTTGCTAATAACTGCTTCTATGCTATTCTACAGAACCACTTCTTTGTCCATCACAGAACAACCTACCTGAGACCACAACACGGCACTGTGACTAGCCTTAAAAGTGCCAGGATCACTCTGAGGGGCAACAAGGTGAACACATAGAGAAAAGCATCCAGGCACAGGAAGAAGCCAAATGTCATCAGCTGAAAAAGATCAACAGTCGTCAAAAACAGTACTTACTGGAAAAAGAATGATTAAGTGAAAATTTAAAAAAATATATTAAATGAACAAGTCAGCATGGTTACCTTCTCCAGCTCCTTGGGGATGCGAAGGCAGGTGTAGACCTTCTCTCGTCGTTCAGTGTATTTCGCCTCATTGTGTTCGAGGAAGTAGCCTCTGGTCAGCTCAGTGGTAATGAACCTCAACAGAGAAAGGTCTAAAAGAAAAATTATATGTATAATTTTTAAAACACTGGACTGAACAAACATTTGGTCAGTGTGAGGACTACTGTGTAGATAGTGTCATTGTTTAACTTCATAGCAAGTTTTTCTGTTTTGTCTTAACATGTTATAACTAACTCCACATTGATTAAACATATAGTGGTTCTTTTATACCTAAATTCTACACATAATTTATGCAGGTTACATTTAACACATCACAGCTACTGAGCTACATGCAATCAAATGGATTTTGCGAAAACCACACATTTATTTTAGCAAGTGACCTCACAAATCTTACGTAAACTATCTAGTACATCTTATTTCTCCCCATACAAGTGAAATACTGAAGATTTCCTATACTAGAGCATGGGCTTGGTTAGGAGCTGATTTAGTTAAGTGAAATCTACACTTCAATAGTACAGATCATGTAATATTTGTTTTCTTTTGTTTATCTGTTTATTTACGTATTTATCAATAGCAAACAAGCTTTGGGTAAACAGGCCAAATGTTTCAGTGGCCATTCTGAACACCCAAACAAAAAAGCCCTCTTGAAGTTGACCCTTCAAAAGTCTGCTATGCAAACATTTACTTATTTGAGTAATTTTAACCACGTGGACAAACAGGTCGACTCAAAGTCGTTTTGTGCATAACAATTATAGGGAACAGCATGCTCCTCAAAAAGGAGGAGTGGTGATAGTAAGCAAGTAGTAATTCATATGGATGTTATGTAACTGCATTATTTTAATAGCTCAATGAACAGTGCGCAAAGAAGACTGCTTTGCTACAGTCGTTTGTCATTTTGTCAAATGTGTTAAAACACTACTACAAATAAAGGTCAAATAAATTAATTGGTAAAATGTCATGTCAGCTGAACGCCCCGTGTGCATACTTGGACAGGAGCCCAAGGCTGCACGGTGTACTAAATGGATAGGTATGTACTTGCGCAGTGGTTTAAGGTGACAGATTATAAAATACATGCTCTGTGTGTATGTATGGCTGTATCAAAAGAAGCTATTCAACAATCACAGGTATGGACTGTCAAATTAGCGGCAATAAACAGTGCATAGGGCAGGGTGGCTCGTATTTACCTGAGAGGTTGCGTTTCTTGGCTTTACTGTCGCCAATTTTGGTCTTAAAACCCAGAGTTTCCGTGGTGCCATCATCGACTTTGTTCGTGTCTGTTCTGGCATTCCTTCGGCTCCTCTCTCGGTCATCTTTATCCTTTTCTTTTTCCTCGCCCAGACTGGACGACAGCGAGTCGGCCATCTTCAGTCAGCTCTGCTGCCCGCGTCTGCGAGACTGCGTAATCACGTCATCACGCAACAGGGTTTGCTCCATTATCAGACAGCAGAGGGCGCTACACTCACCAAAGTGTTGGGTATATAATTATAAACAGACTCGAGACAACTTTTGTACAATGTTCCCAAAACGTACTCAATTGATTTACACCGAGTTTCACAATTTAAATTTAAGGCATCAAAAGCCTACTATCAGAATTAGTCTTACTATAGGTCTAGCTTTTAGACCTGTTAACTAGCACCGTGACCTTTTAGGTTGAAGTTGTCTATCTGTTGCTGTAATGAATTATAACACGGTTGAATTGTTTTACAATGAATGTCCAGTTCAAATGCCAACTGTAAAGGTTAATTCCATCCGTGCATTAGGAGAAGGCAGCGAGAGCTGGCTCACAGAGAAGGGATAGAGTTTCCCGGTAAGAGATCTCTGACTACCGTGGATTCGGTTTCTTCTCTGCTACATCTCTCACCACACGCACCATCTCATGAACAGAGACCATTGCTTTTTCCAAACCATGCTTTATTTTTGGGACTAAACTTCACGGTAAACTCATGGTGGTGGTGGAGCGCACATCGCGGTCGCTGCCCGGCGTCGTGTCTCTGTCTTCAGGGCACCATGGGCCCGTAAGATGCCTTCTCTGTGGAAACAGATCACATTCTCCGCGGCCTCGGTGCTCTGTGTGGGGTCGGTGGTCCTGTTGGTCGTGGCCTTGTCTACAGAGCGCTGGATCACTGGCCGGATTCTGTGTAAAACCGGCGCAGAGATAGTCAATGCTTCAAACCCTGAGATGGATCAGTTCATGGGACACATTTACTTCGGATTATTCCAAGGAGGAAAGACCAAGAACTGTGGGCTCGGGGATAGACGCTCCAAAATCTACAGTAAGCCATTGGCCAAACCCATAGACTGAATTAATTTAGTGTTCAGGCGAGCACAGTCTACTATGTTAAACTGCAAAAAACTGGAGCTTTAGTTATAGGATACATAAACGTCGTATAACCAAATAGCCTTTAGCCAATATAAATAATAGTGATCATTATTATAAATTGGCCATAAAAATGAAATTTTAGGCTACAATATAGGATTATTACCCCATCAGTAATGCCAGATGAAGTCATAATCTAAAATTCATAGAACTATTTGCACTGGAGCTGAATATGTAAAATGGAATGACATATGATATATAAACTTTTTTCTTATCTAAATATATATATTTTTTATACCACACACATTTGTTATTTCCTCTTACAGATCACTGACATGTGATATGTGCATGCTTGTGTTTCGTGTTCAAGTTCCACAGGTGTTGTGCTCAACTGAGAATTCTACTGAGATTTAGGGTGAATGTGATTTTTCTTAAGATTTTTATTTTTAACCTCTCCAGTTTACAGAGATTGCAAGAGATTCCTAAAGACACATAACTTGTATTTTGTTAATCCAAGTAAGAGCCATCTATACCACATGCGAGACAATATAGGCTATGGCTATTAAGATGCATGTCTATCCTGTAACGTACCCAAGTTTAACAAGTATAATTTTGTTTCAGTTTTCCCCAAACTTGTGCGGACACTCAACGGTGGACTGCACATCATGGTCATCCTCTTTCTGCTGGCAGCTATGGGCTTTGCTGTGGTCAGTTTATCCTTCAGTATTTACAATGCACGCAAGGTTCCCTATCAGAGTATCAAGGGCCACAAAGGACTCTACCTGTGGAACGTCATTGCAGGTATACTGAAATGACTGTAAGACAGGTGTAATAATTTTTTATTACTCCATACAACTCCAATTTCCCAATCTTTCTTTTCAGGTTTACTTGGGTCATTGGGAGTGCTTTGTTTCATTGCCGCGATGAGACACCACAGGCTTACAGAGCGAGTAGCCAACTACGAGGAAAAGCTCTTCGTCTTGGTGGTGATCTCTGATAGACTGGACTATTCCTTTTTCCTGGTTGTGACCAGTATAGTGACTCACATTGCTGCCTGTGGAGTAGTTGCCATGAGTCGTATCAAGCTGCCCAAACCTGAGGTGAAGAAACCCGAGGAGCCCACCATTGCTGCCCTAGATCTTCTCTATTAAACCTCAGCAGAATCTTACAGCATCTTTACTGGGAACACAACATTACGTACAGTTTGTGCTCAAATAGGTTGGGTTCACAGCATTCTATAATGAGCAAGATATTCTATATGATTAAGAGGAAGGACAGGTCAGCTTATATGGTGAAATTTGCTGTTTATTTGTCAGACTGCACATTTGTTGACCATGGAACAAAAACTGGCACAAAATTCAATGTTTTCTCAAATAAACATCTGGAGTTATGGCATTATCACATTGTAGAATGTGAACACAACCTATTATAATGGATTCAGAACCTTTTTTTTATTTTATTTAAATAATGTGATTTTAATCATACTTTAACCTCGATAGTTTTTACTTGAGGTGTTTTAGACTACACTGTTCACTTTTTAAAAATAGATACCTCACACATCTATTATTTTATTTATTTAATTTAATCATTATTCAATTTCACAATGAAGAGAGTAAACAAAAGGGTTGTATATTCTTGTACTTGCCAAACAAACATGCATCTCTTACATATGCAATACACACCAGTGGTTCTCAAAGGAAAAGGTACCACCACCTCTAAACCATGACTATTTTGTCTATTTTGTTTGTCTAGAACAAGGAAAAAACTTATTTAAAATTTAATTACATTCTAAGGAAGGAGCTTGCTTACCACCTGTGGTATTCGTACCACAGTCTGAGAATCACTGCAGTATGTAAATGTTATTGAATGCCTTTCTAATTACATTCTAAGACTATTTTTCATGACTTGGGTTGTCTGCATGCACACTAGAGATATAGTGAGCTTGCCTTGCACTTACTAAATGAAAATTTCCTAATCTCTATACTATTAATTTCCATGTACAGCAATAATTATAGTGTATATAAATGTATTTTAATCTCTAAATTAAGAAATAAATAAGAAATGATGTAAATATAAAAAAGTAAACAAAACAAAAAACTGTCACGCCAAGAGGCTATTTGTTTTTATTTTAACTTGTGCATTATGGATTATCCGGGGAAATGACTATTTTTGAAATACGCTGAAGGACATTTGTTACAAACACAAATCAATTTGATGTAGGGGCCAGAGTAAAGCATATGTAGAGATTTAACCACTAGATGGAGACAAACACACTCTTTTGAACCGTTAGATAAAGCAAGAGAGGTAGAGCGCTTCACGAGGTCTTGAAAGAGTAAAAAATAAAAGTATGGGTGCTCTACGAGGGTTAAGACAGTGGTCTTGGAACAGAAAATTACCCTTACAGGAAAATGTAAAAAATGGGTAAGGTAAAAATGATGATCTGGATTATTCCATGTTTCTCTGAAAGTTAACTTTTTGGGTGATTCTTTATTGTAAATGACATTTTTTGTACTTGTGATAGTCAATTGTCTATGTATTTCATATGTGATGGACACACCTACTTTCCTCCAACATGTCTTGTTGTTCTTGTTGTTTGGTGGGGCTCCTCATCACTTATATATTCCTCATGGTTGGCCAACCTTTTCTTGTTTTGGGGTTTGCTCGCTGTTTTTTTTCTGCTGTCATGTGATGTTGTCATGTGATTAATTGATTGTATTTATTGACACCCGGTGTGTCTTGTTTTTACTGCTTTGCCCTGACGAAAACCATCTTGCTGGTCGAAACGCGTTGGCGTCCCTTCATGTAATAAAGGACTTTAGTATACTCAGTCGGAGTACCTCAGGTTTGTACCATACCCATTTTGACATTTTCTTGTACGGGTAGTTTTCTGTTCTAAGACACTCTTTTAAACGTTGTTATTGGTGACGTAATAACTAGGCGACTGAGGTCCATTGGCTGCGTATGTGCGACCTCAAGACTTTATTTTACCACATTTTCTCAGGTTATTCACCAAAATGGCAATGCTTTTATTTAGACGAATATTGTCGGGGAGGAACTACTGCAGGAGATTTTCCACCTCTCATCCTGATTTCAATGATAGAAAGGTAAGTATTGAGCAAATGTGGTGGTATGCATGTACTTTTGAGCTATTGTGTTCTTTACATTTGTATTAATTCCGTACTTTAGGGTCTGGTGCTTGGTGTGTTTGAGAAGGAAGGAGAAGGCCATCACCTAACCGAGGCTGCAGAAGGATTTGACCAAAGTATATGTGGAAAACTTTCAGAGCTCCTTGAAATGTAAGCTTTAATGGTGTTATTATATATTGCGATAAACGATACTCTTGAAGAGCATTCTATCAGGATGGTAACCTTTTTGAACCATATTATAAATAAGTAAATCTGTTTACATACACCCCTTCATCCACATTGAATTAGCATCAATAAATCTGTTTTACACAATTATTTGTTTAGATCCGGTCCTTCACTCAAGAAAGGCAAAAGCAGATTGTTCTATGGACTTCATGAGGTAATTAACTTACAGTGATCTTTAACCTACTATTAAGCATTTATTGATATTTATTTGTGCTCCAGGACTTTCCATGTGTTGCTGTAGTTGGCCTGGGCAAGGCTAACGCCGGTGTGTGTGGAGCTGAGAACTGGGACACCAGCAAAGAAAACATCCGAGCAGCTGTATCTAGTAAGTTTCAAACTCGCGCTACCATTTCTCAATATTTAACACCAACCAAAAGATGCCCATTTGAAGTGTGTCAGAGTGCTGTTGCAGAATAACTAGTTGTTATGCGTCCAGGTGGTTGCAGGTTACTACAGGACTTGGAGGTAAACCATGTTGAGGTGGATGGCTGCGGTGATGCCCAGTCTGCAGCTGAAGGTGCCGTTTTGGGTTTGTTTAGCTATGACCAACTGAAAACAAAGAAGAAGACAAAAGTAATAACACAGCTTCATGGAAGGTAAAAATATAGTTCTTAGGATTTGAGGAAAATATCTAATTATTTTTATTTTTTACAGCAATTCTTTAATGTGGATACATTTTAAAATAACTTTCAATTTTAAATACTTTTTTGTATTTACTACATTACTTTATTTTGCAGATTTGTCAGAACCAGCAGTGCTTACTCAGATATAACATGGCAGTTCAATAATCTGTCAATACTTGATATATCGCATAATGATCATTTTTAGTGTGCATGTAAACATCACTACGGATATATAAATGATAAACATGTACAAATGTAGGGTATTTTTTTGCTTTGCTTATTTTTTTTAGCACTGACTCTACTGGATGGGCAAAAGGAGTTGTGTATGCAGAAGGCCAAAACCTGGCAAGGCTACTTATGGAAGCTCCTGCCAATCACATTACTCCCACAGCTTTTGCAAATATAATTGAAGAGAAAATATCTAATGCACAAGTCACTATTTATAAGAGGTTTGAGGCAATCTTTTTCCATCAATTAATCTTTAATGTGATAATGTAAAATGTTAATCAAAGCTGGTTTGATAGGTCCAAAAGGTGGATAGAACAGCAGCAGATGGGTGCTTTTCTGAGCGTGGCTAGAGGTTCAGAGGAACCACCTCTTTTCTTGGAGCTCCACTACAATGGGTCACCTGACAGCACACAGCCTCCACTGTTGTTGGTTGGCAAGGGTGTCACTTTTGACAGGTAGAACACAGCAATAGTTTTTCATTTGAAAACTTGATTATTTATAGCTAAGTAGGCCTTTTTTTATTAGAGAAAGATTAGATTTTTTTTCACTTTTACAATATTGATCGACAATACATAAAACTTTGTTAAATATAACATTTTATAAAATTAAACTATTAATTTTTAAAGCCTTCATTCTATGTGGCAATTTCATTTAAAAGAATTGCTAGTTATATTAAAATTCTAAATGTATATCGCACATTGTATTTAACTATGTTTGAGTGACTTTTTTTTTTTTTGTGTGTGGCAGTGGTGGCATTTCTCTGAAGCCCTCAGCGTCTATGGATGCCATGAGAGCAGATATGGGAGGGGCAGCCACTGTCTGTGCCTCCGTGGTTACAGCAGCAGCTCTTGAACTGCCAGTCAACTTGATTGGTAAACTTAGTCCAAGTTCTGTGTGCGCCAAGCATATAAATTAACTAAAAACTGTGATAGACACAGTTCATTCTTTAATTTCCTTTAGGCTTGGCTCCCTTGTGCGAGAATATGCCCAGTGGAAAGGCTACCAAACCTGGGGATGTAGTCAAAGCCAAGAATGGAAAGACTGTTCAGGTGAAGGCATAAATATTTCATTCCTGTAGTTAGACTTTGCACCTTAAGGTGTTGATTGAAATATACAGTACTTAAGTGGTTTTGTTCCAGGTTGACAACACTGATGCTGAAGGCAGACTCATTCTTGCTGATGCCCTGTGTTATGGACACACATTCAATCCCAGGGCTGTTGTAAATGTTGCCACGCTTACTGGTGATGTGTTTATTTAAACAAGCCAAAATATAAATAATGCTGGTTTCACATCTAATGCTGTCCCAGTTTACAGGTGCTATGGATGTAGCTCTTGGCTCAGCAGCCACAGGGGTCTTCACAAACTCTGACTGGCTGTGGGAGCAGCTACATAAGGTACTGTAAGGTTTTTTTGTGTGTCATTGTATGTGTCGCCTCCAGTCTTCTGCTCTGACCTCTGGTGTGTGTCTGTAGGCCAGTGTTGTGACTGGTGACAGAGTGTGGAGGATGCCTCTGTTCCAGCACTACACCAAACAAGTGACTGACAGTCAGCTGGCTGACCTGAACAACATCGGCAAGTACAGCAAGTATGTATCTCATACTCAGTGACTGTCAACTATAGAGATGTCAGTGTCTGATAGCTCTAATATTCTTATCACATTGCTTCAGGTCTGGAGGAGCATGCACAGCTGCTGCCTTTCTGAGAGAGTTTGTCACTCTTCCACATTGGGCTCATCTGGATATTGCCGGTGTGATGAGTAATAAAGATGAGGTTCCATATTTAAGAAAAGGAATGTCTGGAAGGCCAACACGGACTTTAGTTGAGTTTGCAGCTGGGTTGGCTAAGAGTTGTTAATTTTGTAAACTGATTTGTTCTTGGAGGTAATAAACTTTGAGAAACTTGAGCAGGTTCATTGATTGTATTTAACTGACCTTGACTATCGACTGTTCTTCCTGGAGACCTATGTAGCATGTCAAAGCAAGACTCATTTTATTGGACCCCACCAATCAAACTTACCATAATATATGAGAAGGCTGGTAAAATCGCATGCCACAGTGTGGAGCAAGTGGCAAAAGCTGTGTCCTTAGACAAGGAATTTCATCGAGGTTGCCTAGTATTAAAATGGCGTGTGTGTGCGGGAGTTTTGATGGAGCTTAGATGCACAATATAAATCTGATGCGTTATTATAATTCATAGAAATACTGGCACAAATAGCTGAACACAAGATAAAGATATTCAGGATTCAAATGAAGTTTACCCAACAGAAAGGACAACATTCAGTCAAGAATGAAATTCTTCAGGATCCAGGTATAGTCATGAGCTGACTGCCTCCTCATTCACTGCTCCCTTAAGTACCAGCTTGGCATATATGGCTTGGTGAAGGTTTGACATATTTTCTCACAGTCAACTGTACATATGGGGGGGGGGAAACAAAACAAATTTAGTTAAAACTCAAGAGATGTTTTTTAAAAACCTGATTCTTACTTGATCTGTTATAATATATATACATAATAAAAGATTACTACTGAAGTAGTATATTTCCATTTATTAAAAATATCTAAACCATAATAAATTAACAAGCACATTTTATTTCTTACATTTTGTACAATTTCAAAATAGGACATTATTTACATTTTTACAGCTTCTTATAAACAAATAATGCTGTGAATTAAACTGCACAATGTACAAATGTCTGGTACTGTCCAATGAAAGGACTAAATTCAATTTAAAGCAGACCTCAGTGTTAGAAGAGTCACTTTAGTCCACCTCCTCAATGGTGGGCCCCTGGGAGCTCCCCCGAGCGTCCTCTCTGCAGCTGCCTGTGGGGGGCACTCCCTGGTACAGCTTACTGATGATGGGCTTGCACACTTTCTCCAGCTCTTTCTGTTTGTGCTGGTATTCCTCCACCTCTGCCAGTTGGTTGTTGTCCAGCCAGCTCATGGTCTCCTCACACTTGTCCAGCAGTTTCTTGCGGTCATCCTCATTCAGTTTGCTGCTCACAGCCTCGTCTTGCACACTGTTTTTCACAGTGAACACATAGGCCTCCAGAGCGTTCTTGGCACTGACCCTGTTCCTCTGGGCCTCGTCCTCAGCTTTGAACTTCTCTGCATCCTGCACCATCTTCTCGATCTCCTCTTTGCTCAGTCGGCCTTTATCGTTGGTGATGGTGATCTTGTTCTCTTTACCGGTGCTCTTGTCCACCGCCGACACGTTCAGGATGCCGTTGGCGTCGATGTCAAAGGTGACCTCAATCTGAGGGACCCCTCGGGGGGCAGGGGGGATCCCAGTCAGCTCAAAGCGGCCCAGCAGGTTGTTGTCTTTGGTCATAGCTCTCTCCCCTTCGTACACCTGGATCAGGACCCCGGGCTGGTTGTCGGAGTAGGTGCTGAAGGTCTGGGTCTGCTTGGTGGGAATGGTGGTGTTGCGTTTGATCAGGGCCGTCATGACCCCTCCGGCTGTCTCGATGCCCAGGGACAGAGGAGCTACGTCCAGCAGGAGCAGGTCCTGGACCTTCCCTGAAGTGTCCCCGGAGAGGATAGCAGCCTGGACGGCAGCCCCATAAGCCACCGCCTCATCTGGATTAATGCTCTTGTTCAGGTCGCGGCCATTGAAGAAGTCCTGCAGGAGTTTCTGGACTTTAGGGATCCTGGTGGAGCCCCCGACCAGGACCACATCATGGATCTGTCCTTTGTCCATTTTGGCGTCTCTCAGGGCTTTCTCCACAGGCTCCAGCGTTCCTCTGAACAGGTCTGAGCATAGCTCCTCAAAGCGTGCTCTGGTGATGGAGGTGTAGAAGTCCTGTCCCTCAAATAGAGAGTCTATCTCAATGCTGGCCTGGGAGCTGGAGGACAGAGTCCTCTTAGCCCTTTCACACGCTGTACGCAGTCTCCTCAGGGCTCTCTTGTTCTGGCTAATGTCCTTCTTGTGTTTCCTCTTGAACTCCTCCACAAAGTGGGTGACCATGCGGTTGTCAAAGTCCTCTCCACCCAGATGGGTGTCTCCAGCCGTGGCCTTGACTTCAAAGACACCGTCTTCGATGGTGAGGATGGACACGTCAAAGGTGCCCCCTCCCAGGTCAAAGATGAGGACGTTGCGCTCTCCAGAATGGCCTTTGTCCAGGCCGTAGGCGATAGCGGCGGCCGTAGGCTCGTTGATGATTCTCAGGACGTTGAGTCCGGCAATCACACCTGCGTCTTTAGTGGCCTGTCTCTGGGAGTCGTTGAAGTAGGCTGGGACTGTGATCACTGCGTTGGACACCTTGTGGCCCAGGTAGGCCTCTGCCACCTCCTTCATCTTCACCAGAACCATGGAGGAGATTTCCTCTGGGCTGAAGGTCTTGTCTTCTCCCTTGTACTCCACTCTGAGCTTAGGTTTACCACTGTCACTCACCACCTTAAAGGGCCAGTGCTTCATGTCGGCCTGCACTGTGGAGTCATCAAACCTGCGGCCAATCAGCCTCTTGGCATCAAACACTGTGTTGTTGGGGTTCAGAGCCACCTGGTTCTTGGCAGCATCTCCAATGAGACGCTCAGTGTCGGTGAAAGCCACATAGCTGGGGGTGGTTCTGTTGCCCTGGTCATTAGCGATGATTTCCACTTTTCCGTGTTGGAAGACCCCCACACAGGAGTATGTGGTGCCCAGGTCAATGCCCACAGCTACTCCGTTTGCAGACATGCTGATAGAAATATTATAGCTGTTTTTTTATCCTCTGAAAAAAAATAAAACAATAATATATTTAAAATACAATTCAAAATATACTAGACTCACAGTAATTAACTAACAATGAAACAATGCAATATTTTTGTATAATTTTTAGCATGGCTATTTTTCGTTCTATTTCTCTTTTCTTGTCAGTGTTTGTGTGTTAGTAAAAGCTACTTACAGTTATCTCGGATAGCTCTTGAAAAGTTAGCAGCTGTTTCGTTTTCTTCAGCTCGGCTGTAGTTTGCTCTTCTGTCTTGTCGTGTCTCGATCTGAATCTGATACAATCTCTGCCGCGACTCCCTTATTTATACTGTTCATGCTGCGATTTCCAAGAGAGTCTGGCTGTTTCTAGAGACTTCCCGCCCCATCCACAAAACTGTCCAATCACCGTGCCGAGCGACAGTTCTGCGTAATGACGTCAGAACCCAACAGCTGATGGGTGTCTTCGCGCTCGAATATTCCACTCTCTTCCAGGTTCTGTGAGAAAAGTTCTGTCCATGGAGGAAAAGTCACTTTTACTATACCATAAGGTACTGGGTCACTGGGTCTGTTTGCTCAAAAAATTAATGTTTGGTGTTACCATGTCAAAGTAGTTGTGTTCAATTTATAGATCAACTGGTCCTTAAATGCATTTGTTTGTGGGGTATTTTCATAGAAGTCGCTCCGGTTACATCATTACATTTTATCGTATTTTGAGAAAAAAACCCACAAAAAACAAACAAACATCTGATTTCTCTGATTAGGATCCTTCTGAATACTCACATTAAATTGTGCAGTTTGTATGTCCTTACGTAATTTTAAGTCAGATTTGGGTTAGTATCTGTTCATCATGCAGTTAATTTCACGAATCTATTAAAATGCATGAGTATATTATTTACTATTTATAAATAGTTTATAATATAATCATGCATGCAGTTAGGACCATTGTCAGTAGTATAGTGAACACCATTGCGCATGTGTAGGACATACGCGCAAAAGAAAAAAAAAAGCTTTACACCAATATGGCGTCTTCCATGGGTGGAATGTTTCCTGGGCAGCAGGCTCCTGGTCAGATTCCCGTTGGTGGTCCGGGTGGACCGAGTCAGCCGGGTTTTCCTGGTCCCGGAGTTCCAGGTCCGAGGGGGCCTGGGAGCAACACTTTGGTCGACGAACTGGAGGCTTCATTCGAGGTATGGGGATAGTCTACATGTGCTAAATGCGTTAGCATCATCACTCTTTTAATCATAGCATTTGACATAAACACGATCATCTGCCTATTAGTTTGTAGGATACACGTGTTAATCATTTTATTTTCTTTGTGACCACATTCAATAAAGTTTTTGTATGATACAATGATACACTACACATTGTTTGCCTGGGATCCAGAATACACACTTCTTCAATACAGGGATATTCTGTTTATTAGGATCCCCATTAGCTGTAACCGAGGGTCAGCTAGTCTTTCTGGGGTCCTTTTAAAAGTTTAAATTCCTACAGACATGTCTTAAAAACGATAGGTCTAGAAATAGTACAAAATATTTACACCATTAAATATGCAATAGGCAAATCATGTGATTATAGAAAAATGATTTACTAATTTATAATAACTTCATAAATTAAATTTGTGTTGAGTAAATTTATTTAAATGCTCGTGAATGCGTAAACAAAATGCAAGAGAGATAGAAAGGAGAGGACAGAGAATTTCATTTGTGACAATTGAGATATTATATCTGAGTATTTACCAATACAATTTATTTATTTTGTTATCATACATATATCATATATATATATTTTTTATTGCCCATAATAACTGTCAGTAGTCCAATTGTTATTTTCTTTGCATTTTACTCTTGTGTAGCCTAACTGTGTTTTATACTATATTCATGATTACATATTTTAGCAATCGCAATCTTTATGCCACAAGTGGCTGGCTGCTTTATTGCTTACATACTTGGTGTTCATTTTGTAGGCCTGCTTTGCATCCCTTGTAAGTCAAGATTATGTGAATGGGACTGACCAAGAGGAAATTCGAACTGGTATGCACAGAGTGGTTGGTAATTTCTCATGCTGTTTAGCATGTCAGTGCTTTATCTGCCCCTCTTCCCTTTATTACAGGTGTGGATCAGTGCATCCAGAAGTTTCTGGATGTGGCTCGACAGACAGAGTGCTTCTTTTTGCAGAAACGACTTCAACTGTCAGTGCAGAAACCTGAGCAGGTGGTGAAGGAGGTGGGTTCAGCATGTTATGAAGCTGAAAGTCATTTAGAATTACTGTAATATTATTCCATGTTTATTTCACTTCAGGATGTGTCTGAGTTACGGAATGAGCTGCAGCGGAAAGAATTGCTGGTTCAGAAACATTTGGCCAAACTGCACCACTGGCAGCAAGTGCTTGAGGATGTGAGCGGACAACAGCGTAAGCCCACAGATCTGCCTCCACCAGGACCACTGGCTTTTCTGGAGCAAGCTTCTGCCAGTCTGCCCCCTGCCCCCTTAAAACCAAACTAACTTTTTCTAATACATGAGCACTACAGCCACCATCCAATAAGAGGAATGCACTTGCATATATTTGTGGAAGTGACAAGACAATCTTTCTGGTAAAGTTCACTATGGATGTGGCCCCTGCGTGTTTGTTCCAGACTGATGAACCCTAGGAAAACTAGACTTTTAGAAAGAAAAGATGGATAAATAATGTAACTGGAACTTCACTAGGACTAAGTACACTGTGCACTGAGCAGAACAATCCTCTTTTTACATACATGAACACACAGCTGTACAGCTATCATTTCAGATAGTATTGTCTTATTTAAACTGTTTTTTTTTTTTTTGAGTTATGTAAATGTTTTTTTAATACTGGGATATTAAATCAAACTACTTTCAATAGATTGCAATGCATGTAATTCGTTCAGTATTCATTAAAGGCCTTGTGACAAACCCAATTAGGCACAGTACAAGCAAAGTTAAGTAAAGTAAAGTTATTCCCCAAATTTTGTTTCTAGGTTGTTAATTAGGTTCCTGGGAATCATTTTATAGCTGCAGCCTGTTGAAAAAAGCAAAATTTAAATTTGCGACGTCTGAAAATGTGTCTTATACAGCAAGTTGTATCAAAATTTAAAAAGCAGCTTGCCAAATTCCCCCCTAGAACTTTAAATTAAAATGATTAGTTAATAGCAATTGTAGTTATTTAAGAATTTTTGGGCCATAAAGGATCAAATGAGGATATAAAGTACTGTATTCCAGTGGGCTTCAATTAACGTACATTGTACATGTACATGCATGTATATTTATGTTTTTATTTATTTAAATTCTTTAAAGTTTTCCAAAAAGTATTTTCCTTAAGCTTGAGGTGCTCTAATACAGTTTCATACCTTTTGGTATGTGCCATCTTAAAAATTTAAATGCAGTTTTGTTTTGGGGTCCAGTAGAAGTAAAAATAATGTCGATTTTTTTACATATTGGGAAAGTAATTCAGGTAACATGGTTGCTGTTACACAAAAACTGTATAATGAAAATGATGTTTTTATATACAACATTAGTACTTGGTACCATTAAAAACACAGATTCTTGGTCAGGGTTTCCCATGGCACACCTGTTCAGAGACGGCCTGAGTGCATTTTTTATTCAATTACAGCTGAAACATCACTGCTTTGATTGAAGTTGTTGAAAATGTTCATCAAGGCATTTATATTGGATTCTTTTCTAGCTATGATTTAGCCCCGTAAAATCAGCTTTTAAACAATTGATAGTTACATTCCTTCATCCTTACCTTGTTAAAATTATTATGCATTAGTTGTTCATTTTATAGTTAATTTTCTTTTATTCTGCAGAAACATGTTGTAAACATGAAATGTCCTCATGAAGGAAACACAACATCCTTCATGTAATAATTAATCCCTATTTAATAATCAAAAACATGCTCACACTAGTTATCTGTGGCATACAAACGCGAACCTGACCACATAGCTTATCTCAGTTACTCTTGTTTTTTACACAGCAAATCAGGGTGTGGGTTTCTTTTTTAGGTATTATAGAAGTAAAGGTCAAGATTAAGGGCTTTTTATAAAACATTTTAACACTAGGGGCGTTATGGAGGCAACTATTTTTTACGTCAGTGAATTTTACATGTGCAGAGAAGCCTCCATGAGAGGAGCTGCCTGGTGTGCATTCATGAAGTTATCTGTTTGCTAATAACAGTTATCACCAAAAACGTTGACCTTGTGCGTGGCCTATGGCGATTTCAAGGTTTCGCTATTTATTGTGGGTCACGTGCATGTTTCTATTAAAATAACAGGTGATGGCGCCAGTCATAATTTATGTTTATTTATTCAGATGTCAACGTAACGTGGTGTAATGCTTCATCTCACTGTCATGATTCTATAATAAAAAAATAAATAAAATAAAATAAAAGAGAAATATGCTATGGTCCATATTGTTGTGAAATATTAAAATAAAATACATTAAATATAAATGTATAAATATATCAGTACAAATACATACATTTATCACGATCCATGAATTATTTTCAAACTCAGCAGGAAGTTCGTTGTCCGTCACAGTAAAATCTTCCGACAGTGTGCATCGAAAAAGTCCTTCCGCAGCAGAAACAGCAGCGATTGTCGTTAATGTTGTAGTTGTACTGTAACGACTGGACGTGAAAGCTCTGACCAGAGAGGACGAACTGGAAGTGGTAAACGATGAGAGAGTGAGGGGACACCGGAACAATGGACGGACACAGTGCACAGGTGTGTTCAGAGGAAGATCCAGGCCAGAGCAACTGTTAGATAGACACGTAGCTTCAGTATGTGACACCAACACACCATGGATCGATCCTTGTGATTTAGTGTTTTCTCTTAAATTTTCTAGATGAGATTTGGAATCGTTTTCAAAGATGGCCAATTCAAGTATTCAAGAGGCCTGAAGTGCCTTTAAATCTGAGCCTCAGGCTGTTGCAATAATTATTGGGGGAACTGTTTAATACTTATACCTATAGTGCAATAGTCTGAGAAAGTTAAAGTATAACTACATTAAAATGCCTTTTATAACTGTACAACAGTGTGTCTTCACTCAGGGTGCCTGTGAAGAGGAGGGGGAGCAGAGTGCAGATTCTGTGGGCCTCTTGATCCTCTCAGATGAGATCCTGCTCTGTATTCTTTACCATCTCCCAGTCTGTGACCTGCTACTCAACGTGGCCAATGTCTGCCACAAGCTACGTACACTCTGCTATGACAAGACCCTTCTCTCACAAGTCTGCTTCTCAGACCATTATTTGGTATGAAAGTTGCTTATAGTCTCAACAGTTCATAGCTATGGGCAACAATGCTCAACCTATATAATTCTATAAATGTAATTTGTGCACTTTTCTGATGGAGGGTTGTGACACCTTCTGTTTTCCATAGAGATTGTATTACTTTGCCAAGAATGGTCCACAGTATGGCATTAAAATGAGCTATCTTGCAATTACACAATAGCGGGTGTTTTTATTACCCCAAACACCATGAAAAACATATATTCTTAGTGTAAATGGGCTGACCTCTCCACAGATCTGAACCAGACCTATAACTGAACCCAGTGACTTCACCCACTTGCGTCCACAGAGATTCATAGTTGTCATGCCATTGAATATTCCAGGCAAAGTAATAATCTCTATGGAGACGAGCCAGTAGCAACCCCTCTACCAGAAAAATTACATAGCGCACCAAACCATATATTCCAAACTGTTAAGAATAAGATCAGTCAATAAACCACTTTGCAATTGTACCTGCTGATTAAAATGACTTTAATTTGTCTTTTAATTTTATTCTCTTACCAGGCCAATGACATGATGGTGGTGCGTACCATTGAGAAGCTGTCCAGTCACGTGCAGTCTCTGAGCCTGAACGGTTGTTATTGGCTGTCGGGCTCCACTCTGAAGCACCTATCCCGCTGCAGAGAGGTGACCCAGCTGGACGTGACAGGATGCAGGCTGACCACAGTCCGTTTGTCCCACCTCCTCTCCTCTCTGTCTCACCTGCGTTGCCTGGCTTTTGACGTCACCTCCACCTTCAGTTCCTCTCAGCTCAGCTCAGAGGCTGTGGACACACTCAGCAGATTATCGGAGCTAAGACAGTCTCTTCTCACTCCCAGCTACGGGGTTGTTCCGTATTGTGCAAAGCTCCGCAAGTACGTCATGATTATTTCACAGTTTTACTAATACTTATTACAAAGTACTCACTTATAATCAAGTTTGAACTGAGATTTTGTAATTTTAAATTGATAAATCAATGATATGCTTGGGTCTTCTTAATTGAGAGGTCCACAGCCAGTCAATTGAACCATGTGGTTTGGAGAAGGGTTCAGACTTCGGAGGACATTTTACTATTTTGGTTGAATGGCATTGATTAACTCCAAGGCATGATTTAACGTCATGGTCCTTGAAACCTACATTAACATTGTGTTATCATGTATGTATTTGCTTTCGACAATAAGTTGTAATTAACATACATGAGTCTCGGGTGAATTTTCATTGTGAGAGGGAAAGTGATTTAGCCAAACACACACATATACATCAGGTATCTAAAGAGAGGAGGGAGCCAAGGAGAAATGTCTTGCCCAGCTTTCAAATTATTGTCTGTACATCCTACTACTAAGCAATTGCCATTTTCCTCTTTCTTTAAACTCTAAGACATTAATTCTTTCATCATCTGTCTTAGTATGAAATATATCAGCAAAGTGTAGTTGAGGTCATCTTATAACACTAAGTAAGGTGTATTCAAATAAAATTCTGTTGTTCTACTTTTTTGCTGTAGGCTGATGCTGCAGTTTGATATCTCGGATGTGACCAGAGAGGGCGTGGGTGTGTCCTGTCAGCTGATGGTGGGGCAGAGCAGCGTGCCACATTATCAACAGCTAGAAGAGTTCACCGCTCGATTGGCCCCAGGAGAGGTGAGGGGAACTGCAGTGGCCTAAAGTGCTTTTTAATGGTGTGGGTATGACCATGATGTGTAAAGAAATCTTGCTAATCAGCTATGTTATAACTCAAGTTCACAACACATAACATTTTAATAAAATACATTTTTGAAACATTCTACATTGAGAAGTCCGATACATTTTGCCATATAAATGTTTTTAATAATGTTTCGGAGTTAATATACCGGTAATTGTTTCTGTATTAGTCCTTGGCAAAACACTAAACACCATGTTGGAAATAATTCATATTTTGGTCCCAGGTGAACCAGACCCTGCTGCTTCTGTACCTGGCTGTCTTCAGTGTCCACATTCCTGGGCATCTCAGAGTCTTCCTGGTGTCCATCCCTGGTCCAAACCCTGCCCACTGGCCCTCTGCTCGAACCCTAGCCCAGAGCTTGGGACAGAGGGGTGATCTGGAGGCCTTGCAGCTCCCTCGGACATGGTTGGACCCCCCCTCACTGAAGCTTGCTCTAGGGGGAAACAGCCCTCGCCATCTGAGTTTCAGCCGGTGCCCTGCACTGTGGCCCCAAGTTTTCCAATCACTTCTTGAAGGAGGAATAAGTGATCCTACCCAGCTCTGTAGCTTAAACCTGAGCGGAATCAATCATGTTTTGTACTCTGACTGCCGAAACATTGATGACCAGCTACTAGCTTCCACTTTGAGTCGACTGGCAATTGGTTGCTCAAATCTAAAGCACTTAAACTTGATGCACACTCACTATCACCATGAAAAGATGCCCAGTTTGAATAATGAAACTCATTTGTGCTCTAGTTTGGCTAATTTGAGAAAACTATGCTCGCTTACTTTACCCGCATGTGCACTTTCCGATGGAGTGAATTCAAATAACAGCTCAAACACTACTTCTCCATCATCATGTTTACTTGGCTTAAAGAAATGCGCAAGAGTAGGCCTTCAGAATTACAAACCAGACACGGGACAATCTTCCTCAGTGGACAGTACTTCAGGATTGGCCCAGCTGACGACAGGTTGTGTGACTTTAGAGACACTGGAGGTCATTGGTCCTGGTTTCGTGTCAGTTCTTCCCAGACTGGAGCCGTGCACTCGCAGCAGCGTAGAGCCTCGCGGGATGTGTGCTTGGGCCAGAGGAGTGGGAGATGCACACATAGCAGCTCTGGAGGGCCTAAAAAGATTGAGATGCCTGACTTTGGCTGGACTGCCAGGGATTTTGAAAGGGACAGGGCTGGTACACATGGCCAAACATTGTAAGAACTTGAAAGTGCTGTCGCTGGCCAACATTGGAGCAGTTAAGACAATGAACTATGCTCCAGCTCTGCAGGAGACGCTCAGAAACTGCACACAGCTGGAAGAACTCAGGTGAGACTACCCATTTTAATAAAGCAGTGTTTGTCCTAGGCTATATGATACATTTGTGACTTTTCATGCAATACAACTTTAACTTGTAACATGTTTACTTTTTTACAATTCACCTTGAAGAAATTGATACATTTATGTCTTATTACATTTGGTTTATTGACTACATTGGATCATAATTGTTTTTATACCTTCTTTTTTAGGTTAGAGCAGCCATACTTGAGTGCCAACAGTGCGTTCTTTGAAGCCTTGTCCTGCTGCCCGCTCCTGCGTCGTCTCTGTCTGATCTCCCGCAGTGGGACATTTGACCCCACCGCCACAGAGACCTTCATGGAGCGCTGCCGCCTTGTGGTCATGTGCCATCTGTTCATGGGAGGGACTCTGGTGGCCTGTCGCACTCTGCAGAAAACACTGATAGAAAGGTAAGGCTGGAAACAAAACTTCTGTGATTGTCACAAGTTTTCTGACAACTTACCTTTGCTTATACCCATTAGTTATTATATTATTTCAGGTAATGGTACTCTTACATGAGTAAAAGTTTTGGTTACTCTTCTCAATGTGAGCAAATTTACCAGTGACAAATGTTTCAAACATTGGTGCTTCAGATATGATTAGTGTCAGTATTTTGTTTCTTTCAGAAAATACCAGAATCTGTGCATTATTTAATGTTTGTCCAGTTACACAAACTCATAAATTACATGCACTCATGAACCAATTACATGAACTCATAAGTTGCGTGACCATTTGGGTCACTTCTTTTTACTTCATCTCAAGTGATAACTAAAAATTATTCTTACTTGAGTACAAATGTTGGCTACTCTACCCACTTGTGGTTATTGTTGATATTGGCATAGCATTGTAAATCATGTATCATTTTATGTCAGGTTTTCAGCTGAGCGCCCAGCCTTGAGTGTGGTCATCTACCCCTTACACCACGAGGACTTGCCTTCGGTCATCAGGGATATCCCACTAACACTGCTCGACACAGTTACCCTTTTTCAGAGTCATGTTGCCCAGCCTCCACATCTGTCACCATACTAACTCTGTACAAGAGTCTGTATATGATGATTGGTGCTCAACTCAAGGTGCTACAGTGAATAAAGTTTACAATTTTAGTACAAGTGTTGTTATGTGTTGCTTCTTTACAGTCCAAACCAATTAATTAGTTTGACAATACACAGGCAAATATAGTATTGTATGCAATAGTATTGTATTGGTGGTAGCAAGTAGGCTAAGGCTCAGATGCCCTTGGGGTGACAATCAGAGATGCAGCTGTCTTTCTGCACCAACTTTTTGATTTCTCATTCAGTATTTTTTCTATGTGCAGCCAGCCCTTTTTGAAGTTTTTAAGGATTATATACCATATGAACTTATTTATAAAACACTTTACAGTTAAGTTACAGCTGTCATACACAACACGTAGAATACACAAACCATTACAGTCAAAACAGGTAACAATGTACAATGCAAATATCAAAACAAACATTACATGACATAAAGTCCATTTTATTTAAACCTAGATAAAACAACAACAAATTTAAAGACATATATATCTTAAAAGTCACTGAAAAGGCTACACAAAAGTTGCAGTTTTTCACGTAAAATATAAATCATTCCTAATTTATGAAAGCATTCTTAGACGCAGGTATTAACAATCGATTTGCCATCCAGTCACTAAAGCGTAGCGCTCATCCAACTCTGCTATCTACTAGTCCTGCCTTCCGTGTTTGGTAAACAACATGGCGTCGCCCTGTCAGTCGAGTGACGGAGTGTATGAAGCGTAGTCTAATCGTCAAGTTTTATCCTTTAATTTTTAAAAATCATGTTTAAGTCTGTGGTGCGTTGTGTGCGTAATGGAAGCGGGCAGTCTGTTCTGATCGCTCTGGGTGTTCGGACCTTACACGGAGCTGGGAAGAGGTCAGATCATCAGACACGAGGAGCCAGGGCACTAGCTCCTACCCCCGGCCTCTTCCTGCCCCATCTGCGGCTCATGTCAAGTGCTGTACCCACAAGAATGCTGTCCATCTCGGCCTCGGATCCACCAGAGAGAGCAGTACCTCAGGAGATGGACCCGCGGGAGGAGGAGACGGGGTTCGGTTCGCTGTCTGGGTCCTTGTCCACTCGTAGATCTTACAGGAAAAGCAGTGCGTATCATGAGGATGAGGAGGAGACCGGGGAAAATGCACAGAAAATGGTGAGGAGGCAGAAGAGGGTCAATACGCCTTACTGGTATTTTCTACAGTGCAAGAAGCTGATTAAAGAGAACAAGGTAAGATCTGGGTTTGCTCCTTAAGTAAACAAAATGACAAGTTGCCTGTAGATTTCTTAAATCCAATTTTTTTGTGTAAATAATATCAGTATAGAAGCCTTTAGTCGCCATATTTAAACAATCTAATTCACAATAGATATAACTGTTTGACTCAAGTGTAGCCTTTCTTCTCCAGTGTCTTATTTTCACACTTGCACACACATAATCAGGACTTAAACCCAAAACTAAATCTGGATCTGGACAAAACAAAGACTAGAACATAACCAGACCAAGTCTACATCAGGACTAAAATGAGCTCAAACAGGACCAAACCCCTACAAATGTGAATGCACCCTTAAACTTTCCCATCTAATTTGTAAAACATTTAGGCATTTCTGTCTTTTGACATTGTGTTCCATTGTGTCCCAGCTCCAGGAGGCTCTGGACCTGTTCAGTAAAGACATGTTGCAGGGAGAGAGGCTGCAGCCTGAGGAGTTCAACTACAGTGTGCTGATCGGAGGCTGTGGGCGCGCCGGGCAGCTCAAGAAGGCTTTCAAACTTTATAATGATGTATGCTACTTAATATCACTTCAACCATACAAGCTATGTGTCAGTAAAAAAAAAAAAAAACAGAAAAAGACATATGGGGCCCAAGGATGTACTTATTCTTGAAAATGTATGCAACAGACTGGAGTTTATATTTGTAGTAGGGCCGTAATATATAATAATAGTAATGATTGGCAGCACATCACTCGCACTCCACATTAAGACATGGGTGAAGTGTCTTGCCTCAGAATGAAATTTTAAGACCACTTTTCCACCTAGTCCCTCTTTTTTATTTGCCTAAATTTGACATAACATGTTTACTAGACTGGTTTAGACTTGCTACTAAAATGATCATAAAATACATTAGAAATACTGATCTCATGAAATAAAAGCATTCAAAAAATAAAAGCATAAAAAATGGCTCTTTAACTTCCTTTCCTTCATAGATGAAAAAGCGTGGCCTGGAGCCTTTGGATGCGACCTACACGGCTTTGTTTAATGCCTGCGCCGAGTGCCCATTCAAACAAGCCGGGCTCCAACAGGCTCTGAAGCTGGAACAGGAACTGCGTCGGAAAAACTACCCCCTCAGCACTATCACGTACCACGCTCTCCTGAAGGTCCATGCAGTCACCAACCACCTCCAAGCCTGTCTGCACACTCTGAGGGTACACACATGGATATACTGTGTATATAGGTGAAGGATACTGGTGGGAATCTTTACTAATACCGTTTTTGCCCAATGTGTCTGCGTACAGGAGATGCTGGAGAACGGCCATGTTGTGACTCCGGAGACGTTTCACTACCTCCTGATGGGTTGTGTGAAGGACAAAGACTCTGGGTTCAGACAGGCCTTGCAGGTAATAACATGAGCTCATTTGACTCTTAAGAATTAATGAAGTAAGTGGGCCTGCACAATATGATTGCAGTTACTGTACTTTATTTTCAAGTTAAGTTTCAGTTCACAGTACACAATTTAAACACATCCAGAAGCACTGACATTTCAGAGTGACTGAAATATGAACAGCAAGACTAATGCAAGAATTTGATACATTTCCAAATATGTTAGTAGAGGTTTAAAGGGAATATATTACTCAAAACCAACATTTAAAAGCTCTTAACCATGCTATGATTTACCCACTCAAAGCTTTTAAAATATATTTTTGTATATTCTATGTATTGTGAATGTCTTTACTTTACTTCTGCTACTGCTCCTGTACCTGTTTTGCCCCTCAAAAACTAGATGAATCATCTCCCTTTATACCAAGAATCAGTTTTATTGCCATTGTCTGTGAACAAAAGTCACAAACTAGGAACAGCCACTGCTCTGTACTTACTTTTTAAAACTGTGATACACATTGGATTCAGCAATGTTGTGTAGCCAGGTTTTATTCTTTTTATGTCTCCTACAAATTTTCTTATATGTGTACTGTTTTTTTTTTTTTTCAGATCTGGCGTCAAATGTTGATATCTGGTATTCATCCGGACTCAAAGAACTACACCCTCCTGCTGCGTGCTGCAAGGGATTGTGGGATAGGGGACCCAGCTTTGGCCTCTGCTGTACTGCTCAGCACTATAGAGACTCCTAAGAGAGACAGACCAAAGAAAAGGACTCCGTTGCCTGAAAACAACATCATTGATGTAGATGTTTTAGAAAAGGAACTGTTTATCCAATCAGAACCAAAGACTCCTAACCCTGTAATGAAACAAGATGGAGCTCTTATTCAAATATCAGACCATCAAATACATTCACCACCTGCTAATGTTGAGGAGAACACTAATAGTCCTAACTTACTGGATGTATTTGAAGGTAAAAATGCTGGTGTCCTCTCTCTGTGTGCCACGGAGAATGTTTCAGATCGTCTGGCTCTCATTGGAGGAGCTCAGGGCTTTCTGCAGAGTATGGAGGTCAGAAGACTCAAACCAGACCTGAAGACTCTGACCCTGTTGGCGGATGTGGCCGAGCCCAGCCTGCAGGCGCTCTCCCTGCTCTTGAGAACAGCCAAGCAACACCAGATCAAACTGGATGTGGCCTTCTTCAACTCTGTCATTCGCAGAGCAGCAAAAGCAGGAGATATGGAGACGGTGCAGGTGAGATAATGGAAACATAAACCTAATAGCACTATGCTGATGAGGGTTTCTTTTTCCTCATGCCATTTTATAGTGCAATAGTAAAATTTCAAACTTTATTTTGATACTAAATGGGGATCAATATCACAGTGTAAAATACTCTTGAAGAACTTACGATGCCCTGGTGTAGTTGTGTTACACTTTGAACTACTGACTCCTTTACGCATTATAATCATCATTTTATACAGTATAATATGGATTATACATAATATAAAATTTGTTTCTTCAGTGTTACCATGTGGTGTTATGACTTTTTTATTTTGTAATTTAAATAAAATTGTATTTAATTTAAGTTTTATGAACCATGAGTACCACCATATTTCTGAATGAACAGCTGACTTAGTGTTCCCTCACACTTAGAGGTTGAACCATGACAGAAACAACCGTGTGGATAGTCAGTGGCTGTGGTTACAAGCACTCTCTAAATCTGATGAATATCAGATTTTTAGATTATTATAAGATAATTAAAATGACATGTTCAGCAAAATCATCAATTTTTTTCTAATCAGTGTTCCTCAGATGTCTCACATCGGATTCTGCAGTTTACATGTCATTAAAATAAATATAAAGATTTAAAAATCAGATAATAATCAGCTTTAAGTGTGCTGCTTCTCACCCAGCAATGTCTCTGATTAGATATAATTGTCTGTCCATGGCAGTTGCTTCCTCATTGTTCTTATGCAACAGAAATAGCTATGAAGTTATATGTTTTTATATTATGGCCAGTAGCAGTATTATTTTCTGAAGTTTTTTTTAATTGAAATGTTGTAATGAAGATTTCTATTAAATTAGGTATATATCTACTTTTGACATGCCCAACTAAGATAAATAGTAATATATATGGGTGTAAAATGTTGCAGGCTGTGCTGAGTGCTATGCGTAGGCGTCATATGAGCATGAACGTGCAGACTTTTGGATGCCTGGCTTTGGGCTGTGACCAGGAGAAGGACGCTCTTCAGTTACTTGAAAACATGGAGGTATCAACACCTTTTTTCTCATAATGCACATAATGTCATAGTAGTGATACCTAATAGTAGTGTATTTTTTACAGGAGTTGGGGCTCAGGCCAAATGTCCGTGTGTTCTCTGCTCTGATTGGTCGAGCCACTCGCAGACTGGATTATATTTACTTGAAAAAGCTTCTGTTACTGATGAAGGAGAAGGAGGTGTGGCCTAATGAAGTCATCATCAGGCAGCTAGAGTTTGCTGCTCAGTATCCTCCAAACTATGACCAGGTAAAATAAACAGCAACATGCTGCAGTTATAGAATTAATTACAATACATGTAAAAACTCAACATAAAAAGACAGATCAATGTCCCGATGCCTCCTTCATGACCCCTCTAGGCTACCATTACATTACTTCTGCACGTCAAACCATTAGAGATATAATAAGTGATGTTGTGATATTCTATTTCAATGTCAAAAGTAAAAAATATATAATTTATGAGAATGTTTTTTTCAACATTAGGCATTATGTCTTATTACTTTAGAATTACATGTGATTTTATACCTGTTCTGTAACGGATCAAGATAATTTTAAAACTTCCAGAAAAATCAAAAGTCCTAGGCTATATAAAATTTTAGTATTTATTTATTTATTTATTTTTTTTGCAGCCCTGAAAGTGAGATTTGGGAATTGTTAAATCCCTTTAGACCCCAATAGATCTTTCAAATATGAACTGTACTGTTGCTTTTTTCTCTCTCTCTTATTGTTGTCTTGTCTTTTTTTTCAGTACAAATGCAGAAACAATTATTTGGTCCACATCGATGGTTTCCGCGGTTACTACCAGCACTGGCTGAGGAGCATGCCTGCACAGACAGCAGAGCAGGCAGAGATTGAGCAGAGAGTGACCGGAGCTGTGCAGATGATCGAGGAGAGAACAGATGGACTGTCTGAGGCTCAGAGGAACCAAAGAGCTGCAGCCAGGAAATACCACTCCAAGAAGGACGAGAGCAGCAGCAGGGCCCAGTCTGCTCTGTGAAGGCTAAGCATGCCTCTAGGACATCTAAATATTGTAAAATAAACAGGACTTCCTTCACTGTTAAAATATGTGAATGCCTGGGGATCTATGATGAATTAATTTGTATTATTTGTTTAAATAAGTCTAGAGTGCACATATCAAATATTGTACAGTTTACCGTAATGGCTTACAACAGCATAGTAAAAAACTGTTTTGTATCATTTAGTGCTGGGGTGTGTCCAAACCTTTTGTCACTGAGGCCTTCATATTAAAATACACACATATACATGGTGGATTAAATAATGAATGATGAATACAACATTTGTGCCTATATTAAAAGAATCAGACTCAAATAAAGTTTGTTGTCATTGTCAGTGAACAAAATTCACTGAGTTTGCTTCAGTATGGGGTAACGTCAAACAATATATAGTAATATGACTTTTAAACATAAGACAAATGCATATATCATCTTCATGATTCATCAGAACGCTTTAGTGCGCTTTGTGCCTTGATTGGCCCCATGCGCTCTCATGCAGGGGCCAGTCTTCCACAGATAGAGGGAGACAGTGCTTTCTTTGGGACGCCTTGGCTGCTCGTGGTGCCGTCTTTGCCGTCAGGTCCTTGTTTGTGCGTTTTAATCAGCGATTGGAAAATAACAGGTAGCGCTGTTCGTCTGTCTCGTACTCATACTCACCTGGGAGGATCGGGGGCTAAAACGTGCCGAATCGCCCCTTTCCTCACGGCGTCTGGCTTCCTGTGTGCACCCGAGAAGAAGCGGTGGGCCAGTGTGGAGCAGCCGGGTTGTTCCCAGCGTGTTCGTACACAGTGTCACCGCCGCTGCTGGCTGCTTTCATGGGGCTACCGTCCGCCCGTCTCGCCGCGTCTGAAGTCGCGATCGTGGCATGGATTTGCGTTTGAATTCCGACCCCCAGTAACCCTCATGGTGGATATGGAATGGTGCATGCAGCTGTGCCAAGTTTTCAGCCGCTGAAAAACCCCGGAATCATGGACAGTCATCCGCTGTGAGTACAAACGCTCCGTCTGTCTGCGTGTGCTTGTGTGTTGACGTTTCCAGTGGCGCCTTGACTGATGGTGCCGCATTGACAGAGACAGCGGCCAGCCCGGTGCTCTCTGACCGGAGCTCGAGGGCTGCTACACGGACATGGAGGGCGAGTTTGTCCGTAAGGCGCTTACAAACGTGCCGACGTGCACAGCGTGTGTTTGTTGGGATAATGGAGGTGTGTGTGTTATGGCTCAGTCAGAGCTTGTTAACTGCTCCTAGACATGTGTGTGGGGGTGTGCTGATGACAGAAAACAAGTGCCACGTGATAATACATTTGGAACGGATATGAGTCCTTAACATTACAATGTGCTAATTTTCTCAAGTCATCTGAAGTGCTCTTATTTGGGCCTGTTCACCTAAAACCCCATAGTTCTGAAATCACCTCAGACTGGCTATTGGTCAGTCTCTGTCTTTCTGAGAGACCGGTGGACACTCACAGTGAAGTGATTGAATGAACTCTTAGAGGTAGCAGGTGGCTAAAATTACATCTTATTAATGGCACAAACTACACAATGAAGGAATGGAAAGAGATTCATTTTGGCATGTCACTCATGTGAAAAGTAATTTATGAAAAGTAATTTATATTGCTGTGTACGTTCTAACAATCTCTTATTTGTTATGGCTTGTATGATGTTGCTGGCAGGTGCACTAGACTGTGTCCACACTCTCTGAGTGACAAAGAGGACGGAGTGGAGAGGCAGGGTCCTGTGACGCTAAACCCTCGGCACATGAGGAAGGCTTTCAAAGTCATGAACGAGCTGCGCAGGTGAGGAACACTTTACCTCAGCTCTTATTCCTGTCCACTGCAGCACAACAATATGAAGATAATATACTATACAAGTACTAGAGATTAAGTGCTGTGGTTTGGTGTTGCAGCCAGAGTCTGCTGTGTGATGTCACCATAGTAGCAGAGGACGTGGAGATATCTGCCCACAGAGTGGTTCTAGCAGCTGGGAGCCCCTACTTCCATGCCATGTTCACAGGTGAGGACTCCCCTGTCCTGTTTAGTGTCATTTTCCCATGATGCTTGGCTCAAATGTGCGTTGGTCTAGGGGAGATGACTGAGAGCCGAGCCAAGAGAGTGAGGATTAAGGAGATGGATGGCTGGACTCTGGGACTGCTGGTGGACTACATTTACACAGCAGAGATCCAGGTCACAGAGGACAATGTGCAGGTAACTGTGCACAATAGAAACATGAACATGACCCATTCAGCAAGTTCAATTCAGCCAACTGCTGACACTAGCCAACACACATATATGCTTTTATATTCTTTACATAACATTTGTAAGAAGGGTTGTTAAACAGTATTGTTTTTGTCTATGCTATAGTAATGCATACATAAAGCTAAACAAATTGACCTATGACTGTTGGATGACAGGACCATGTGATTGCTCAAATGTGTCATCGTATGGTCCTGAGTTTGATGTATGATTCATAGTGTGTAATGCCACACCTACCACCGTCTGTCCTGTGCCTCAGGCTCTGCTGCCTGCTGCTGGCCTGCTCCAGCTGACCGAGGTGAAAAAGGCTTGTTGTGAGTTCTTGAGCTCCCAGCTTCATCCGTCCAACTGTCTGGGAATCCGAGCCTTCGCTGACCTGCACGCCTGCTCCCAGCTGCTCGCCCAGGCCAACAGCTACGCAGGTTTATGTGCTCAAATCTCTATTTTTATACTGCATGTGAGGAGTGACAGCTCTTATTGCCCTGTTCAAGTCCCTGTGTGTTGGGGGCTGTGGAACAGACTCTGAGACAGAATGGGAGCAATGTAATTAATGCAAATATGGAAACCAGAGAAGCCTACTTTTGGGAAATGGCAGTGTTCATCCAGGCTAAAAAGTTAACTTTTTGTTTTTGCTTACAGAGCAACATTTTACAGAAGTAGTTGGAAGTGAAGAGTTCCTTAATTTGGGTATGGAGCAAGTGTCAAGCCTCATCGCTAGTGATAAGCTCACTATCCCCACAGAAGAGAAGGTAGTCCACATTAAGAAGAGCACTGACGTTCTCCTATATTTTCAGGTGTTCTAATCTATCTTCATTTCACAGGTTTTTGAGGCTGTAATAGCTTGGGTAAACCATGATAAGGATGTTCGTCAAGAACATTTGGCTCATCTGATGGAACATGTTCGCCTGCCCCTTCTGTCCAGAGAATATCTTGTGCAAGTAAGTGTTGCTTCTCTGTTCTTATTTCACTTGGCACCATAATACTGCATATATTCAATATATATAGTACCTGTCACATAGGTAGTCAAGTGTTGTCCTCAGTACAGAACAGACTCACCTAAAAAGGTTGAGTTTACATTATATCCCAACATTGTAGAATCCATAGTTTGAAAATGAGCTGCAGGTCAGAATTATATGGTAGAATAAACTATTTAGCATTAATGTCAGATTGCTAATGTTATGAAATAGGTTTATATTTATTAACTAATTACTTACTAATAACTTCTTCTCTGTCTACGTAAAGTTTTTTTTTTTTTGCTTCAGAATGGCATCATTAATAAACTCAGTAGATGGCATTTTGTCTATTTAATTTAAGGGATGAGATTAATATATCAAGTTTGTACAGCCAATCCCTAACAAGGTTCAATGTACTTACTGCATATTTCTTTCAAAAACAGTTAAATCACATACAGAAATATCTAGGCCCTTGCCCAACATCTGAAATGATTAACGTGAATGCTATCCATACTCTGAAACCATAATGAGAACTGACTGTAAAACTGCTGATGTCATAGCAATTATAATCAGTAGAGATACACACTTGTACGATTTCTTATGGCTGATTATAGGATGCGCTATTTTAACATAATTGAAACCATTATTATTGAAACATTCTGTTGCATTGGTGCTTTTGTTAATTTGTCATCTGGTTTCAGCGCGTGGAGGAGGAGTCTCTGATTAAAAACAGCAGTGCATGCAAAGACTACCTGATCGAGGCTATGAAATATCATCTGCTACCGGCCGATCAGAGAGCTTTGATGAAAACTGCACGCACTCGGATGAGGACCCCAGCCTGCTGTCCCAAGGTGAAAAATGGTCCCAGGCACAGTCCCAGTGCTACTACTATGTGATAGATTAGAGTATTGATGTTTTGGTTCTTTGTAGGTAATGGTCGTAGTTGGAGGACAAGCTCCCAAGGCCATCAGAAGTGTGGAATGTTACGACTTTGAGGAGCAGAGGTGGTACCAAGTTGCTGAGCTTCCCACGAGAAGATGCAGAGCAGGTAGGTGGCTGGAATATAAACTTAAACTGTATTATAATCCAGGTAGGGCTGTGCAATTGATACAAAAATAACAGATCCAACTTCAGTTCAGAATATGTGTGCTCTGTCTCTTCCGCAAAACAAAAGCATCAAATGCAAACATTAAAAATAAAACATATTATGTCAAAATTAACCTGTAAAGAAATAACAGACCTAATAATAAAAGTAATAATGAAATAATGGTGATTTGAATAATCAGCCAAAATAACTGTGATTACATAGAAAATATGTGGTAAATATGGTTGTCATATGTGATATTTCCACATCGTATGTTTCAAGGAGGATTACTAGACTATTAGAACACTGAGCAGTTCATACTGGATTACAGGAGAGCAAAGGGTTTCCAGGGATTGAGTTGAGTAAGCAAAAAACCAAACAGTTCCTTTTGGATGAATTAAAATGGCTCATATTTAGTGACATACATGCCTTCCTGGTGAGAGGATATACAGTAACACCATAGTAATAATAAACAGACTTCTAAAACAGTAATTATTTCTTCAGTCTATTGCCATCACGGTAATCCATAATATTACCTGTAGAGGAAATATGTGTTTGTGAATGCCTTGGTTGAATTGAATAACACAAGGAAAATGCAATTGTACAGTCCCTGACAAAAGTCTTGTCGCGTATCCATTTTGTAGAAACAAAAGCTTATAACCTGACTTTAAATTAATTGATTGGTTTTAGAAATGTCTCATATGAAAGCTAAAACCCTCCCAAATTATGCTCGATATGCTAAAATAAATTTGCTTCACTGAAGAAAGATTGATCATTTAATGAACACAGAAAGGTCAGATTTTGGCAAGACAAAAGTTTTGTCGCCTACAGAAAATTGAACAAATAATTTACTTCAAATACAAAAATATATTGCATAACGTCAGTGAATTAAGTAGTGGTGCTGTGAGATCCATATTTAATATCTTGTATGACTTCCATGAGCTTGAAGGACTGCATCCATGCAGTTTGACAATGATTCATACAATTTGTTGATGAAGTCATCAGGAATAGCAAAGAAAGCGTCTTACATGCCTCCCAGAGTTCATCAAGATTCTTTGGTTTTGCCTTCCATGCTTCCTCTTTCATTCTACCCCAGACATGCTCAATGATGTTCATGTCTGGTGACTGGGCTGGCCAGTCCTGGAGCACCTTGATCTTCTTCACCTTGACAAACTTTGATGTAGAGATAGAAGTATGCGATGGAGCACCATCCTGCTGCAAAATTTGACCCCTTTTATGGTTGGGAATGTAAGAGGTAGCTAATACTTCTTGATATTTTAGGCTATTGATATTGCCTTCCACCCTGCAAATGTCTCGCACATCCCCATACTGGATGGAACCCCAGACCATGATTTTTCCGCCACCAAACTTAACTGTTTTCTGGGTGAATCTTGGATCCATGCGGCTCCAGTAGGTCTCCTGCATTATTTGCAGTGGCTGTGATGCAATTCAACCGAGGATTCATCTGAGAAATCCACCTTCTGCCACTTTTCCAGTGTCCATCCTTTTAGCAGGCTGTGGGCCTTGGCAAATGCCACACGGTTTTTTTAATTGCCTTTTGTTTAGTGCTGGTTTCTGTCCACTGATTCGACCATGGAGGTCATTTCGAGACAGAATTCTACAAACTGTTGTGGTTGACACAGGGACTTGAGGTGACCAGGCCTGGTGGAGCTCTGCTGCAGTGGAAAAGGGGCTGGCCTTGGATTTTCGAATCAACAAACGGTCCTCTCGAGCAGTTGTCTTGCGGGATCTGCCGGACCTGGGCTTGTCAAAAACATCAGTCATTTCAGATCTTTTTCTTATTCTTTGTACTTGACGCTGAGACACATTGAAGGTGTGAGCCACCTCAGCAGTGGATCTGGTCTTCAGCCTCTTGATAATTAACGCTTTGGTCTCAGGGTGGATCTTAGGCATGTTGTCAGAGGTCAAGTTGCAGTTGATGTGAAGGTCTGGTGTGCTGGGGTTCTTTTTATACACACCCGCTAATTGATTGATCAGTAACTGATCACAGATGAGGCTGTAATCTAGGATTGGGTGCATCATATGACAAGGCGACAAGACTTTTGTCTTGCCAAAATCTGACCTTTCTGTGTTCATTAAATTATCAATCTTTCTTCAGTGAAGCAAATTTATTTTAGTATATTGAGCATAATTTGGGAGGGTTTTAGCTTTCATATGAGACATTTCTAAAACCAGTTGATTAATTTAAAGTCAGGTTATAAGCTTTTGTTTCTACAAAATGGATAAGCGACAAGACTTTTGTCAGGGACTGTATATGACATTTTTGCTACTGCTCTGTCGAAACTGGCTTCTCTTCTTTGAGATCAGTTTGCAGGGCGAATAGGGCCAATTCGAATAATCATGAGTAGTCAACTATTAAAGTAATTGTATATCTATAATCATCTGTAATATATAGTCTCCAAAACACTTGCAAAATTATGTTTTATCTCAAACACAATGGCTTTATTAAATAAAAAATGTTCTAATATAATACGAATGAACAATGGATTTTTATCTTTCATCTTCTTTCTAGAAACTTTCAGTCACCACATTTCAAACTTTATTTGGTTAAAAATGTATTTTAAAAATCTCAATATACAATAGAAAGAATACTAGTAGGCTACTAAAATAGTAATTAGTTCCTGCCCTAACTTCCAAAAAGGATGTGTGGTTAATGTATCAGGTTGCTTATTGTGTTTCAGCTGCATATCGAGCAAAGATTTCATGTTTTTCCAACAGTGTACAAAGACATATAGTCTGGGTCCTAATCTTATCTTCTTGAGTTCCCATGAGTGCCATTGACAAGGAGGATTATGTGAGAAATGTTTGAAATGGAACAAAGAAAAATAAATGGCATAGACTTCTTCAAATAAACAGTGGCTATGTTTATGAGCAAACCAAAAATCTCACCATTATCTGATTTCTGGAATTATTGGATGATTGGAATGTGATGTGGCTATTCACATCTGTGCAGGAAAAGACTAACATGAATGGGAAACTTGATGGAAGAGTTTAAAAAAAAATTAATGTGCTTTGTCTTTCAAATCCATAGTTATTCTAAAAATCTACTTAATGTACTTAGCAAGGGACACATATCACTAAATGTTTTTGATGATTCCCTTAAACTCTCACCAAAAATTAGATTTAATTATGGGCTTATTTCATTATTTTCTAGCTATCTGTTTTTTACTTTTTTGTCCAATTTCTTGTATAATTAGCTTGATTAGTTTAAATTCTTTTTATGTAATGTAGATACGACTACTTTGTTGTCACATTTAGTCACATAACGTTTTGTTAGGGTGCATCCTTTCTACTTGGACACCATTAGTCACAAGCTGTATTTTGTCATCATCATTGTCAACACTTTCTTGCTCAAAAAGGTCTGAAACTAGTGGAAAAAAAATAGACTTGCATTGTGTCTAAGGGAGTGTTGGGACATTCTGGGTGTTTTTTTCCTAATATTGTATATTTGTAAAACTTTGAATGCACTTCTGTCTCAGGTGTTGTGTACGTGAGCGGCTGTGTATATGCTGTTGGTGGCTTCAATGGCTCTTTACGAGTTCGGACAGTGGATTGTTATGACCCTATGATGGACCGCTGGACCAGTGTGAACAGTATGCAGGATCGCCGCTCCACGCTCGGAGCAGCCGTGATGAATGGACTGCTGTACGCTGTGGGGGGCTTCGATGGCAGCACAGGTAACTTCAACTTGTATGTCACATGTGTAACAGTATATCAGGGTACAAACTCCATTGAACTGTCTTATTGTATGGGTCAACTAAATGTTTTTTTTTTTTTTTTATGATATTGCTCTAGTATTCTGTAGTATCCAACTGATACAGCATCTGACATCCAAAACAAACAATAGTTAAAAATACATAATGATTATTAATACATTCTCAATATTTATAATGTAATTTTTCATGTGTAGGTGTTTTTGTTATAGTGGTGTGTGTAGTATTTTAGAATACTATAAAATTTGAGCTGTAGAGGGTAGAATAAATAACTTTTGATGGCTATTTACATGAATTCAAAGATTTAATTGTAGAGAGGCTACAAAAATTTTCAACATGTTCAGGTGTAAATTGGTCATATCAGATTTTGTTTGATTTGTCCTATATGGTTACAGTGTTGCCATGGTAAATTTTTTATACAAACCCTATTTAGATTAATTAGCATTGTTATTTTCAATCATTGATGGATCATTAGTCAGAAAAAAATCTAATTGTGATTTCTGTGATGGGATTTAATGCACAAACTATTACATATATACATTTTGAAACATTTAAACTACAGGTACAACAAGCTTTTTCTATAAAATTACAGGATATATTGGTCTTTGCTTTCTATTATCTAAATGCCTTTGTGGTTTGATAATTTGGACTTACGAAACTCTGTCAAAACACAACCTGCTCCACAACTGTGGGATTGTTTACCTGACCTTTCACAATTTTATGCTTAGGTAAACAACTGTATTTGTTTGTTCTGTTCACTTTAGCAATTATTGACAGTTGTTAAAATAATATTAGTAATACGATATCTAAATGGTTTTTTTTTTTCAGGTCTGTCCACAGTTGAAGCCTACAATTCCAAAACAGACGAGTGGTTCCATGTTCTCCCCATGAGCACTCGCCGTAGCAGTGTGGGAGTTGGCGTTGTCAATGGTGAATGCTATTCCCATGTTCTCATTCAAGTTAAAAATAGATAAAAGAAAAGGATAAAAATAACACACTGTCTTGGGCAGTCTTGGAAGATGGGCTTTGAAAGAAATAGTCTGTTCTATTTTTTTTTTCCAATTGGTACTACATGTTTACTTTAATTGAGTTATGTTTTTTATTTAGGGCTGCGATGATTAACCGGAATAACTGATCAATGGCCATTTAATAATCAGTGACTAAGTGACTACGAAAATAGTTAGTTAGGTGCAGCCCTAATTTTATATATTCTGTCTGTTTTTTAGGAATCCTCTATGCTGTTGGAGGTTATGATGGGGCAACAAGGCAATGTCTGAGCACGGTAGAAGCGTACAATCCTAAAAGTAACACATGGAGCTACATCGCCGAGATGGGCACAAGACGGAGTGGAGCAGGTATGTGAATTTGTATATACATTAATTACATGTCAAGAGCTAAGAAGCAAAAGGACAGGTTTCAAAAACAATTCAGGTTTCAAATTAGAGATAGACATTTAAATATGTATACAATAAAAAATTAAAATGCAAAGATAAAAATAGGTGTCAAGTTATATTTCTGCACTTCTGTGGATAATTATACAGTCGTTTCACATTTGATACATAAACCTCTACCTAGTAATTTTATTACAATTTACATTCATAATATTATTTTTGTCTATTGCCTCTTTTGGCACTATCTTTTCAAGTCATTCTCACAAAGATTGTATCTAAGTTATTCTCACTTTGACCATATTTGTGCTGAAAAAGACTGTTGTGAGAGGTGACTTGATTTTTATAAAATTTGGATTTTGGAACCTTGATTCAAAATGTAGAAGCAATCTGTTGGTCCTTATTGTAACTATAAAAAACTTTATAGATGCATTGGCAGTACCAACTGATGTATAGATGATGAATTTGATTTTTCATTTACTCATTATTTACAGTAAATCATTAAGCTAATTCTGATACATACGGCAAGAAAAAAAATATTTTATTTGCATGCCTATATACAAAAAGGTGTTCTGTTGATAAAAACTGTAATTGTGCATACCATATTATAATTGTATTTTATTCCTATGTTAACCTCTTCAGGAGTGGGAGTGTTGAAAGGTTTACTATATGCTGTGGGGGGACACGACGGCCCCTTGGTTCGGAAAAGCTGTGAAGTTTATGACCCTGCCTCTAACAGCTGGCGGCAGGTCGCGGACATGAACATGTGTCGGAGGAATGCAGGTAAAGACACTCTGATCAGAGTCACAGTTTATAAGGAATCTATTTTTAGCATTTCAGTTTTAACTATGCTGATGTCTAGGTGTGTGCGCGGTAAACAACCTGCTGTATGTGGTGGGAGGAGATGATGGCAGCTGCAATTTAGCCTCTGTGGAGTTTTACAATCCTGGCACAGACAAGTGGACCCTGCTTCCTACATGCATGAGCACAGGGAGAAGTTATGCAGGTGTGTAGACAATATTTAGAGTTCCCTCACAATGGCTTGTATCCTCTGAATTAATATTCTTTTTTATTTACTTTTCTCCAGGTGTAACCGTGATAGACAAACCCTTATGACTGATGGGGACTCCTGACACCGACTCAGAGTAGAATGTATTCTCACATTGAATACTGATCTTGGATCTGTCGAAGATGCCAATGATTGGATGTTGGGCAGCACTAGCACAGGCACCAATGAAGATGAAGAATGACAAGAATGTTGAAGATTTTTGCACTTACCGAAGAAGAAGATGGATCAAAGTGGGTGTTATACCCATGTTTTAATGCCCTTGTGGCAGGACTGCAGTTGTGACTGGCCGAACCAGTTTTAGCACCACTGTACCACTGTAGTGCCATGGAAATGCTACTGATATGAAGCTACTAAAACTGCAAAGATACATTAACATTCATGATGTTACCATGAACCAGCTCTGACAAAGACCACTGAACTATTTAAGGAAGAGGAAGGCCAAAGGACCACTTGGGACTGAACTGTTTCTCCTTTGTTCCACCTGATTGTATGCGTGTGTATGTGTGTATGTATGTGTGTATCTGTGTGTGTGCTTGCATTACAGGTGCTCTTTGCTTGCACAGGTGAGCATGTGTTAGTGCTCTGTGCTCTGTACTGTGAGTCTGGTGTGGTGGTGACTCCCTGTCTGACAGCGCATGTCTGACCTTTGACCTTTACAGTGTTTCAGTGTGGCTGTGGAGAGCCTGAATGTCGCTTCCTCTTCCTGCTCTTGAACCTTGTTATGCCTCAGTACTGTTATGGGATGAAGTATGGTTCCAGACAGTTTTTGTTTTGGGATGAAGAAATACTTTTAAAGACAGAGGTTTGTGTTGGTTGAGATAGCCTGCATGATTCCAGAACTGTCAAATGAAAAGCAAGAAGATGCTTATAATATTGTATATTTATTTATAAAAGACTGTAACTGGAATATTGATTGTTCTGGTTAAAGATCAGTACTTCCTGTTGCCAAAAGCATTGACTGAGAGGGAGAGGTGTATTAAAGTGAGCAGCCATTTGGATCAGCACCATGTGGTCACATGGCAGCGTTCTGTGCCATTCATGACAAGACGCCTGAACTTGATGCATGTCCCTAACTCTCTTCTGTCCTCTCTGACAGTACTCTGTCCTTGGTGTAGCAACTGTATAACTGCACACCCTGACGTACTATGAATGTGCCAATTTTCTAGCTCTATCTCCTCATTTTGACCATATTTACATGACAAATGTGTTCTCTCTTTCTGCAAAGTGACCAAACCTACTGTTAGCATTTACTCCTGTATCTTTCTTACTTTTCCTGCTATATTGAAATTGCTATAGTACCTGGTATCGCTGTTCTCGTCAGTGTATTTAGGAATGTCATGTAAGCTAATGACTATGAATCATTTCATTACTTGTTTTATAATATCATTAATGAATATGCTTCTTGTATTTAAAGCTGTGAAATGATAAATGCTGTTTTTAAACTTTGCCAAATCAGTAAAATAATGAAAAGAATTTTGTCTGTTTCTTGTTATTCATTTTTTGTTGAGTCCTTAATTTGATGTTAACATATTAAAAGATCTTATATTACACAAAATTGACTCTTGTGAGCTTTAAGTCTCGTTAGAATGTTGGTATCTCATTAAAAACATATTTGGGGTTGTGTTTTTTTGTTTTTTTTTATTCAGACATGTTTGTTTACATGTTATTGGTCTGTCTACACCTCCAAAGCTCAAAATACTCTTTTCCACCTTGTGATGTCATGAAACAGCTACCTTTGACCTTGCTTGTGATGTTTGTGATTAAGGAAACATTATAATATAGATCAGAAAATAGTGTCATATGGGCCCTTTAAGTATACTCATTGATCTCTCTCCACACCACACATCTCTTCACTCAACTGCTTGTGAGCCACCAGTCTACGCGGCCTCTGATTGGCCGATACCCGAAAGTCTCTCCCTCTCACTATCATCACTCCATCCCACTGACCAATCAGAGCTCTCCTACGGCCGTCTCCTCCCCTCTCGACCAATCACAGAGTCGAATATTACAGCACTTCACCCGGGACGCCTCCTCTAGCTCAGGTAGACGGGGAAAACTGCAGAGAGGTAAGCTTTATGTCGTTCTTGGGGAAAAACGACCAAATTGTAACTTTCTGCATCTATTCTGCATAAATTGTAAATAGTTATTTTATAGTAGCATCAAAGACCTCCAGCCATGTTACCTTGGGTAATAGTCCAAAAGACTGCTGTTTATTTGTAGAAAAATCATCTTGTGTGAACTGTTATGTGCATGTTTAGCATTGCTATAGACATGATATTTACTATAGTCAAGTCTTTTCCTGACAATTTGGGTTATCTTTATACTTAAAACTATATTTACAACCATGTTATAGGGTGCATCTTAACAGGCATTTGAGAATCCTTAACATTTCTATGGATGGTCCATAGATTCCCACAAAGTCATGTTACTAGTTAGATGATGATTTGTTAAGAGAGTAAGAACTTTTCAGGTACTGCAAAAATTTCTTCTGCATTTAGAACAGAAATCAATTTCTTATCTTGCTGATACACTGTGGAGTGCAGTTATTAGAATCACAAAATAGAATAATAAATCACTCATTACATTAGTCAGAAATTTGTCGTAAGTAGCACAGAGAAAAATCGAAATAAGTGTTCTTATTATCCCGTCCTTCTGGTGTAAAGTTTTATTACAGCCATTGACCTGATTACTCTAAATGCAATACAAATACTTTTTTTTTTAATCTTGTTTCATCTTATGATATGTGATTGCATATTGAACCCAGTGTATTTTCATTGTATTAAGTAATGAACATTTCACTTGACATGTAACGACCATTGATTAACATTATATCTCTTTGTCCACTCTCTGTCCAGACAGATCACCTTGCAGTCTCCATCATGGCAGGAAACTCTTCGGTGGACATTTTGAGCAATGCCTTCCTGGCTGTGGAATACGTGGACTCATTTCTCCCTCCTAACCCCCTCCAGCCCCCACTCAAACATGCATGGGGCTACATGCTGGACAACTACACCAAGTTTCAGATCGCTACCTGGGGCTCTCTCATCGTTCACGAGTTCATCTACTTTCTTTTCTGCCTCCCTGGTTTCCTCTTCCAGTTCATGCCATTTATGCAGAAATACAAGATTCAGCCGGTATTTTATGTACTATTTTAGGATACTTATTAACATCAGACTAACTGCTAACTTGCATACATGGCTGTATACAACCCTTATTAATGTCTTATTCTAAATAACCTTATTCTGCTGCTTATTCATTCATTTACTTTACTTTCTATCAACAAAATCTATATTATTGCTTATTAGTTTGATAATTTTGTACATAAGTTATTATTGTAATAGTTTATAAAGGTTCAAAAGGTGTAAGGGCTAGTGCAAGAAATAAGTTGAGTAATACTTAATAAATATGGCTTACTATGTTATTCTGTAACAAGTTTAGTAACAAGTATTAGTAGGCCTAATGATGGTTTATTAGAAGCAGAATAAGGTTATGTAGAATCAGATGTTATTAAGAGCCTAATAAATACTAATTAATATCACAATAACCACTTTCAAGTATGCAAATTAGCAGTGTCATCTAGTTGTGCTAATAAATGAACCCAAAAATCTAAAGTTATTGTATTGAAATTAAAGATGACTAAATTAGGACAATGTTTCCTTTTTTTTTTTTTTTTTTTTTCAGGACAAGCCAGAGACATGGGAAAAACAGTGGAGGTGTTTCAAAATGCTGCTGTTCAACCATTTCTGCATCCAGCTTCCCTTGATATGTGGAACGTACTACTTTACAGAGTATTTCAGCATCCCTTATGACTGGGACTCAATGCCACGCTGGTGAGTAGAAGACAAAATTTTATATTTTTATCTCAAGTTGCTTTGTGGTAGAAAATAAATTGCCTTTGACTTTGTAATGAAAAACTGTATTCATATCATATATTTCAAGAAGCCCACAGAGGCTCTGAATGCCTAACACAGGAAAAGTTTGTTTATCAACATTAGTACGGGACCTAGTCTGGGTGGGTTCTATCAGGGGGCACCCTGTTTTCTCCTGTTTTTTACTATTAAGGCCTATTCATACTTCATAAGAATATAAGACCTTTGTTCTTGTTCTTGAGATGATAAGAACAAGAACAAAGTTCGTTTGGGCTCTGACATTTCATATTTCAAAAAATGTTCTGCTGCCGAACTGCCCTACCCCCTCTCTCTGCCCTGTCCCCTCGCTCTGCTGTTGTTATTACAAACATTTAAGGTATTAACTAATAACTGATTGTTTATTGTAACATCCCTTTCATTCATACACATCTCACATTGGCCTATTAGCTAAGTATTAATAGCTTACCTCTGTTTTACTTGGAATAGGAGTCAGATTTGTGATGTTTCCCTTTGTTTGATGAAGGAGTCCAGCCACTGCAGGGGGTATATAGCGAGGGTATGTCTTTTTGTCCTCCAGCCTAACCTCTTTTTTTTTTTTGGGTGACCTCATCCGAGCCTAAAATGTCTACGATCTCCCTCCATGAATTTCTTGCCATTTGGCTGTCTTTATAGTCACTGAGCATTGTGTTGTATAGATGTTTTTATTTTTTTCCCATTTCCGCCAGCTTTGACTTGTTGGAGCTCATGCGCCTGTTGGCTCCAGAAGATAAATCATGTTCACATAAATAACCAATCAGAGTGAAGATGGCGCTGCCGAACTGTTGAGAACAAGTGGCAAGAACTGCCGAACAGGAGCTGGCCAAACAAAATGACGTCATTTTGTTTGGACAGCCCTGGGTGCAAGACTGAAGTTCATATGTTCTTATAAAGTATAAATAGGCCTTTAGCTTCCAGCTCAAGATCTGGAAATGGCGTCCCAGCACTGCAGTACTCATTGCGCCTTTCTATCTTTAAAACACCATTGTTTGAGAACAACTTTTAGTGCTTTATAAACTAAATGGATGTCTTTCTATAAATGTGATGCAAGCTATTAATGAGTTGTACCTCTCTTCTGCTCTTTCATCAGGCCGTACATCCTGTTTCAGTGCTTTGGCTGTGCAGTTGTGGAGGACACCTGGCACTATTTTCTCCACAGGCTTCTGCACCATCGTCGGATCTATAAATACATCCACAAAGTCCACCATGAGTTCACTGTGAGTAGAACATGTTGTATAGTTACTCATTACCAGACCTTGCGTCCATAACCCCTCCTCCATTTTGTTTGCCTTTCCTCCTGTTCCCCAGTCTCCTTTTGGGATGCAGGCCGAATATGCCCACCCTCTGGAGACCCTCATCCTCGGAGCTGGCTTTTTCATTGGAATAATGATCTTCTGTAACCATGTGTTCTTCCTGTGGGCCTGGGTGTCCTTCCGTCTGTTGGAAACTATCGATGTGCACAGGTCAGATAATACATGAAACCATTGTTACTGACATAACTATCTGCTAAGACAAATGTTATGGGATAAATCTATTGTACATCTGCAATTCATTGCTCAAATTCTTGAACCACTATGCAACTCAGCGATGTCATCTTAAATCTATTAATATAGGTTTAAGATGACATTGCTGCATTTTATTGGACTGCGGTGTTTAATTTAATTAGGCAGGAAAAAATATGGTAATGGCTGTGTTTATTGGATATTGGATATATTTACATTTAGGCACAATAATTAACCATGGCCATCTGTCACAACAATTACATTAAGTGAATGTGTGAATCAATTAAACTCATAGACTCAATCTATAGCATATTCAACATTTGCATGAGCTTACTATGATTCTAATGTAGTGCCTATAGAATAGCACTAGAGGGCCACGTAGAACACTGTATTTGTGCCAGTGTTTGCACCAAACAGCACAAGCCAGTGTGGATTGAACTACAGACAGTAATATCGCTAATAATTGTTTGTGGTACCTTTTGTATAACAAAATAAAGACTATCTCCATAATAGCAACACAATGATTTTGACAATGATTATTGTGACAAAAAATTATAAGATTGTCTGATGCACACTAACCGAACCTAAAATTAAGAGACCAGACCAAAACACAGAAAAGTTATATAAGATAACTCATGTGGTTAAATCATTAAAAAGAAATAAAAATACAATATCTACCAAAGAAACATTTAGGTATACGCTTAATTAGTAATGTATTAATGGGCTACACAAACATGAATGAAAATGTGTTTGTACTTTGCAGTGGCTATGACATCCCACTCAACCCAATGCACCTAATCCCATTCTACGCTGGGGCCCGTTTCCATGACTTCCACCACATGAACTTTGTCGGAAATTACGCCTCTACCTTCACTTGGTGGGACAAGCTTTTCAACACAGACAGCCAGTACAACAAATTCATGAACAAAAAGGAGGATAAGAAAGAACAGTAATACACTCGCTAATGGACTTGATATAGTACAACCATTATTCCATCATCACCATTTGTGCCTTTTGCATCATCAAAACAATTCCTGTGTTATTTGTTCTGTTTGGCACTGATGAATAAATGTTCTGCCATGTATATTGCTTCTTTATCAGACTCAGAATGTCTCAGCACTTTAGCACTTCCTCTTTAAGGGAATTACAAAATACACTATCCAGAGAAAGTAATTTTGTTGTACGTTTATTTATCTATAAAGAATTTCATTTCATTGAGGAATTAAAGCTTGTTTTGACTGGGCACATAATTGTCTATTTTCTTATGGTTTTTGTTATGAAACTGTTTACAGTGTCTTGTAAGCCCATATGGGCTGGGCACAAATGTGCAAGACACTATAATAATAAAAATCAATCAATCAATGTATATTGTATGCTTAAATAAAACTGTAGCCCAATGTAAGCAGGTGTTTTTCTTCAGTAATCTATTGAATGATATGGTCAGATGCTGTTTAAATAAATAATAGGTCAATATCGATTAGAAGGGGTCAGTTTTTCTTATGGTCCTGCGGGGTTTTAGTGAGGACACTCCATCTCTGCACTGCACTAAGGACACACCCCTGCTCCATCCTGCTCACATAGGTGTAAATGTACCTGATATAAGCAGGCACCAAACAGGAAGTTGCTTGCTGGAAATTACGGCCACCCTGTAGTTTATCAGTTAGATCACTGTAATATATGGTGTGAATAGTAAAACTACATCCAAGTATGAAATTGTGTTGCGTTATACTGAATACTGAATAATCCAAAGTAAAGAAGGAGATCCATTAACTTGGAACATTTGGCTTTTGAAGAAATGCAAAACCCTGCTATGTTCACAAGATTTTAAGTTCCAACATGTTTTTCTTTTCATTACATTAAATTAGCTTACTAAAATTGTACATTTTATAAGACAGTGTTGAGTAATTTCCGTAGCATAAAGATTTAGCAATTTCACAAGCTGTCCTTTTGGGTTATTGTGAAAGAATTGCCCGGATGTGTGCTTGCCGCCTTGTTGTTGACACATGTGGCGTGCGTAAAGAGCGTGCGCTCAGGTACAGCCTCGCATCACTCGGAGAGGGAGAGGAGGAGGATATTAATAGCTTAAAGCCAAGCTGCAGCAGAGATAAGGCTTGGGTGCGAGCCTGACACAGACAGACGGGTTTAGGAGAGAACCGAGGACAGGTCGAGATGAAGTCGTTGTTTTGGGTCGTGCTTTTGGGCGCTGCCGCGGTGATGGTCCGCGGCGGCAGTGACGGGGAGATCTCCTTCGAGTATCACCGCTACGAGGAGATGCGGAAAGCGTTGGTGTCGGTATGGCTGCAGTGTCCCACCATCAGCCGCATTTACACCATCGGGGAGAGCTTCGAGGGCCGCGAGATGCTCGTGCTGGAGATGTCCGACAACCCTGGAACACACGAGCCAGGTCAGTGTACACACGCGCGTTACAATGCGGCAATTTGAAGCTCCATTTCACCTCTTTGTGTGGGCTGTAAAAAGCAAAGTGGCAGCTTATCCAGTCATGAAGTTGTAATAGTCTATGGTTTATGTTTTATTTATTTATTTGGCCTGTTTATTTGAGAATCTTACACCGATTCACTTTTTAATGTTGCCAGAAGATGTAGTTAGGGGTAGCCTATAATAGAATAAGAGCAGAAGTGCATTAAGTATACTTGACTTGTCTCTCTAAATAAGCCTGTTTTAAGACTAATAATAGACTATAATGTAGGAATTATACTCAAAATCTAGTTATTATACGAAACTAAAATCCTAATAAAATCTACACAATATTATATAGTTCAGAAGTATTAACCAGAGAACAATTTATTTTAGAGTGGATTAGATTATTCTCCTGGAGTGCACAGACTGGACACTCATCTTGTCCTCATTTAGTCTCATTTCGTGGACATAAAGCCTCGTCGTGGGGGTCCTCTCCAAGCAGGGCGCAGGTGTGTGGAGCTGAGGAGCTTGGGGGCCTGTGGTGCAGAGCTTTACGTTGCCTTCTGCTGCTGCATCCCTTCACGGGAGATGGGAGATTGTGCCTCGCCAAGCCGCCATTTTACCACACGATAAGAATCTCGCTCCTCGTCGAGTCGTGACTTTGAGGAAACATCTCAGCGGCTGGGAAACGGGCCACGGCTCATTTGGCTGCTGTTCACTTCACTGTTTCAGCTCCAAATCAAAACCACATGACTTTGAACTAATGGACTGGCTTTTACGCGCGAAATTAGCAACGAAAAAAAAGGATCAGTTCAACGGCCAAGAAGAGGGCCTGTTTTTTGTTAAAAGTTAAATAATAGCCTGATACATTGCTTCACTATGAAAGAAGGAGAGAGACAGACAGAGAGAGGAGTGTGGGAGGAACATGGACATGGAGTAGTTGTTAGCTGGAATAGGAACCAGCCACAAGCCCAAATGCAAACGGTTAAAACTAGAGAACATGACTGATCTCAGCAAGGGTCCAGAGAAAGCAGGCCATATTGAAATGAAAGCCAGTGGAGTAGCCTCAAACACTAATAATATGAGTGCATTTAAGATTAGATTCACACTGATTTTAAAATTCCGTATTTTTGTCAGTTTGTGAAGGCTATCAAGAAAATAGTACCGAATTTTGGACTGAGATATGACCGCTTGTATATAGCAGAGAAATTTGTACATTTTTCTTTTTTCTTTTACATATGCAATAATTATACCAGCCCCTTGCTATTTTTGCTACCTATTTTGAATGTATTATTATTATTACCATTTATATTGTTGCTCTTTGTTACTATATTATATTGTGATATGCGAGCTACTCTGTCCAAATAATTTCCCTTGTGGATCAGTACAGTTAGTTTTAGCTTGGTTTAAATGACAACTTAAAGATATGTTACCTTTTTTCCACAGTATACCATTAAATTGATCATCTCAGACCTGTGGAGAGGTTTAAGAATGCATGTTTTCATAGTTTTTTTGAGCAATAAAGATGCTTCTGATTAAATAAATGCTAGATAGACAGGATAATAGATAGACAATGCCATACTCTGGAACATTTCAGGCAAAGCTGTACCATCTCCATGAAAACAGGCAGTTTGACTGACACTACCTCCCCCTATAAAAATGACAGTGGACTTTTTAACATTTATTTGGTCTAATATTTTCACATTTACAACAGTAACCTTTACATGGGCTTATGTTGATCCTCCAGCTATGTATTCCAGACTATCTGTAATAATCAAGATTCTTACTTCAAAATTTAGACATTGAAATAAAAACTAAAAATATAGCCTCCAGGTCAATAGTCTTAACAGGTGCATGTTCAAACATATATTGATTTATTTAACAGGGACAAAGAAGGCACAACATCAAAAGAAACATTAGAAATTGTGAAAACTACTAATGCTAAGTAAGTAGAATGGAATGGTAGAAAGGATTAAGGTGAATACAGACAAAAACGGGAAGTCTCCAGTGGTTGGGCAGCCAATCAGAACGGAGCCACTGTCCTCTCTGTCACACCGGAAGGATAAGGATTAGTCTTTGGTACATGCAGTCTGTCCAAGAGTCTAATGAATACAGCAGTAAGGGCAGTGGCGTATAAACAAAGATCAACCAAATGAAAAATGCAGCTTTCCAAAAAATCTGTGGCTTTTGTATTTAAGTAACATGGAGTTATTATAGGTACATGAAGGCCAAATTACTAATAATAGTACAAGTCACTGCTCATTAGTTGTAGCCTTAAATCAGCATGTGGAAAGCCAAGTCCAAACTATTCTCTATTACTCTCATCCAAATGTTTTTGGTTTTTTTTGCTAATTATAATCTTGCTTGCTATACCAACCCACAGTATTTAAAATAATAAAAAACTAAATAAAATAAAATCATAATAATTTAAGGGTTTCTTCTAAAGGTTTTCTGGTTGGGTCTGCTTGTGCTTGTCTCCACTGATATTTGGCTGTTTACCCATGATGTTTTACATGATGGTGGTGTTACAGATCAGATCTGTGGAGAGGTGACCCCACTCCCTCAAAATCATGCATGTTTTTGAGGGTATTTTTTGAGCATCCCTATGGAGAAAAGCAGGTGGTAGACCCTCCAACTGAAAAATGACATTGTGCACCTTTCACTTATTATGATATTAACTATTTGAGTCCCAATTGCACTAATAGACTCAGTGCCATGTTAACGTGCATCATGTAGTTTTACACATGGGCAGCTTCTTGGCTCGTACAGTAATGATCAAATGCATGTGCGCTCTAAATGAGGCCGTAATAGTGTGGTGGGCGTACGCGGGTGACTCATGGTAGCCATGCAGCGTCCTTATTGCTACCAGATGATTTTCCAAACCCGCCGCTCTGTACAACTTTGAGCCCTGAAAACAACAGCACCCCAGCCCTGCTCCTTCCCTATCTCTGGTACTATATGGGATGTAACATATAGCAGACATAAAGTGGAAACCTACACCAGTGTTTGACAGGAATTCACCAGAGAACAACAGGAAAGCAAAAGCAGCTGAATAGAATGTTGACATAATACTGACATTTCAAACTTGATTTCTAAACTAAGGAATAGACTTGAAACTTAATACAGATTCTGATACCACGCATGGGTGTATAATAGTCTTTGTGGTCTATACCTATACTATATACAGTACATGTTCTGAAATAGCTCAAGATCATTCCAAAGCTATTCAGAAAAGGTTACTAGTAGGGATGTAACAATAACCAAAATATTGTGATATTGTATCATCATAGGTCTCACAATAATATCGTGGACCCTCACAATATATCGAATTACAAGTCTCTTTGCTTAAATGAAGAGTTATGGTGCAGCAATAGCTTAAAAAAACTGAGGGAACTACATAGACCATGATCTTTTGCTCCATTTCAGTGCAGACTACATGAAGAAATAACAGTTCTAAGCACTTTTGAGTCTTAGTTCTTTATATTAAGTCTTGTCAAGGCATTTTAAGAGGAAAAACATTAACAGTTTTGTTAGCTACACAAAATATTGCAATAAATATCGTACCGTGAAGTGTATATCATGAAAATATCTGACAGAGATTTGGATATTGTTACATCTCTAATTGTGAGCCTCCCCTCCATATCGTGAGCTTTCCCACGATATCACAATAAATATTGCACCGTGAGGTTCATACCGTGATGATATCGTATTGTGAGACTTGAATATCCTTACACCACTAGTTACTAGTTTTGTTATTGATAAGTATCTGATTTTCAATGTTTCTGCCAGCACTAGCACCTTCACCTTCTACTTTACTGCTGAAAATACCAACCTACTTTATCTTTTGCTGTTTAGGCATTGTATCTGATTATTACTGTTTTGAAAACTTGATAAATAGAAGTAGTTTGCAGTGGTCCAACCTTATTCTTCATTCTCCTAAGTCAACCCTTGGATCTTATCTACTGAAATAAGTTTATAATAATG